ACTCTTCGGACTCGGTAACAGAATCAGAATAAGGTCTAGGTGGCGCCAATCGACCCCCAACCGTGGAATACACGGAGTTGTCCGTCTGTCGCCTGCGAGAGAGAACATCCCACCCAGGCCTGGCCGTTTCGACACCATGAGGAATGAAAGGATGCTCGCGATGAGTGTGAGGCCCCTCTGCGTGTGCAAATGAAGGGTCCCGAACGGCGCTGGGTGGTCCATCCCACTTTCCCTCCAGCTTCAACAGCGTTGACTCAATACCACCATCGTCGTCGTCAGGAATCTGCGCAAACTTCGCAATGACCGACTCAAAGGAACGTCTAATTTGCTGGGAAGTGCGCGGCTGAATAAGTGAGTACCGGGGAATTGGAGGGATCAATGTTGAAGGAGGTCTTGAGGCAGTGCCATCAGAGGGGGCCGTTTCTTCCACAATTGAGTCATCCCAAGACGCAAACGAATCACGACAGGAAGGAGGCTCGGTTTCATCTCCAGTCTGCATTTGACGGAGGTTTCCACCTCGGCGCCTACGAAGAACCGGCCCTGACTGTTTGGTGTTCTGATCATACACCGCACTTAAGTCGACAGTGGATTGAGCCGTCTCGCTGCTCATCGAAAACCGCTGTCTTGAGATCCCACTTTGAAAGGACGCGTACTTCCGGAGCCGCAGAGATAGAGAATTCTTCTTTTTGTTAATAGGCGTCGATCCACGTTCAGCCGAGGACGATCTTTGCGGCGTGAGAGGGCGAAGGGGGTAGAATACGTTCGACTGAGCAGCTGATTCGTCGGCATTGTAGCAAAGCGGCCGAAGGTATTCTCCTTCCACAGGTATCGATTGCGTTGAGGCGTCATCGGGCACTTCAAGCTCCGGCGCTTCATGAGTATTACCATTAGCAATTGACATTGGTTTCTGTGCTGCCCCTGACATAAAGGGCATTTCGAAACCGGTATCATCGACAATGATGATTGATTCGCTGCCCATAGTGATACCGCTCCGGAGTTTGGGGTCGGAATTGGGGGTTTGCGTCGGTAAAAGATTAGAAGCGTTGGATGCAGGCTCCTCCAGGGTCTCTTGATGAAGGTCAGACGCAGGTGGCGGCTGATTTTGGTCTTTCGTTCCTTCCTGGTTCATGGCCAAGCGGTATTGTTTGAGGACCTCATCACATAGTATATCAATACGAGCTGGGTATTTGGGAATAGCAGCCATCTTCCTCTCGCGGTAGAACTCAGAGCCAAAAGCCAGTCCAATTGGCATTGCAGATGTCTTCCCGCGGGAAGGCAACGAAATAGCCTCGTGGGCATTCGCAATGCGAGCAGAGACGCTCTGTCCACCGTTCCTCGTGTGCAATGCTCGCTTGATTGAGCCAATGATTGTTTTCATGCCCGAGTTAGGTGACGACTTAGGCACGTCCGGTGTACTCCGACGATCCGGATTTGGGTTTTTCAACGGCGGAGGAAGGGGAGGGGATTCCGGTGCCATCATTGTCATGTACGATTCCGCGGGAGGATACATTTCTCCACGTATTAAACTGACCGGATCGAGCATCTGCTGTGATGCGGGTCCCGTCTCGGGCTCCATCGCAAACATCGGCAATCGATCATCTCGCACCGAGTCTGAGAAGCTTCCGCTTCTTTTATGGCTATGGCTGTGGTATGGGTGCCGCGAGACCATGGGAGACGCGGGTGACCTAGGTGGTTCATGAGCCCTAGACGGGGACTTGGACTTTGTGAGACCCAATACCACAGGGCGAGGCGCCTTGCCTTTCGATACAGACATGGAAAAGCGCCTGGGGGATTTAGGTGGCAATGAACATGAGAGCGCCATCAAGCTTTGTTCGCTTTTATCAGAGAATGGAATGCTTTGTGCAGTTGCTGCAGAGTCATTTCGATCATGCTGTATGGGGAAAGGAAGACTGTCGCGGAAGGTGGTGTCTGCACGGGGCGTCATGCCATAAATAGGGACATTTTGCTGCAGCTCCTCGGCTTTAGGTAACTCAATCTGGGCGTCTCCAGGTACAATTGATATTTCCGGGTCGTTATAAGCGCGAGACAAGTCGGGGGAAGACCAATAAACCGAACATTTGCCATTCCAGCAACGCTTCAAGTCAATCAGAATCTTTCGATCACTCGTGCCGCCATTTTGTCGAGACCTGACCTCTGAATATAGCTTGTTAATGGTCTCGCAGAAGTGGGTTCGAAGCTCGTAATTCGTAACAAAGTCATCGACGAAGTAATTGAGAATCCAATGTCGCAAAGCCGCAAATGTACGAATCCTTATAATGCGTCCATCATCTTGTAGCCGGTTGATTGCCCACTTTAACCGCGCAAGAAGAAGTGCCAATAGGTGTGTTGTGGATAGGTATGAACGGAAGGTCAGGAAGAAGTCCGATACTAGTTCATAGTCCATGAATGACTCAGAGGAGACTTGCGCAACGATTCGGGCAGGTGTGGCAGCACTGATATCCTTTGTCCCAGTAATATATCGGACGACAGACCCATCATCCATATCATACACCAGCGTCTCGTAGATGGATGGCTCAACCGGCTCTTTCAATTCATAGACCATAGAATTCCTCGGGGCTGGGGAAGCTCGGTTGATATCTATAGCTGCCGCAGTTCCTGAGAACATCGAAATCGCAAAAGATGGCCGATGCCGCGAGAAAGAGTCTCGAGGATATGGACCATGGAGTCCCGGCAAAGGGTCAGCCATACCCCCAAGCAGTGTTGAATTTCGAAAGTTGTCCGACATCGAGGTTCGCGTATAGATAGAACTCTGTATCATTGCACTGCCTTCGGCGTTGAATCGCGGCGACCCGAGCCGATACCGCGGAATTGGAACCTCCAAGGCTGGTGTCAAATTCTCACGTGCAGACTTGGGGCGGTCTTCAGATCTATCGATCACGATCCGCAGCTCCCCACGCGTCCCAGCACCGGCTATCGATTGCTGCTCCGATATTGTCGAAAATGAGATCGGTCTCGTGCGGTGCTGGCTCGAGAGTTCGGGGGGAGGAGACACGGCGAGGACGGACTCGGGATCTTCGGGCTGTTGGCGCGGACGTAACTCAGAGAGCTGCGAGCTCGACCACCTGGATGGATCTGGGTCTTCGCGGGTATGTGCATGACTCTGCGGCTGAAGGAGACTGGGTTTCGCGGTATCGATTGGAGAGAAGGATGCAGGCTGCGGGCTTTTCTGGGACGGATTGGCAATCGGCCTAGGTTATTGAAATAGTCCTACTATCAGCAGGCTGCACATTATGTGACACGACGCGAGGAATCATGGATCGATTGGTGTACCTGAGAAATATTTTGCCATTCTGGCCGACACTTCTTACGGTGAAATGGCCCGCCTTCCTTCCGGGGGAACGCGCCTCTAGTGGGCCACGATGTGTTTGGGACCGCTGTAGTTTGTTCTGTCGTAGGAGTTCATGGCTATCCTTGGCGGTTATTCCAGTTGCTGTTCTCTCGCGTGCTGCCTTCAACTCTAGGTTCCGCTTAACGTTGCTGCCCTGGGCTACGGTATTGGCACGGCGAAGATTCGAGATTGGAATCTGGGGCCCTCCACTAGACATTCGGTTTGAGGCTGACAGTTCATTGATCTGGACTTGCGGGCCCAAAAAGGCATCCTTGAACTCCGGCGGATCGGTGGGTGGAGGAAAGGGCTCCATGGCGCGAAAGCTATAAAGAACGGCGCGAAATGCTCCCGTCGCGACGGGGCCAGGGTTTGTACCACTGGAAGAAGTCAAGGAAAAATCATACAAAATAATACATGACTTATGAGGTCAGAAGGGATTTTCGAGGGGAAAAAACATTAAAAGGAAGAAATCGGACAGCTCTTGTTTTTGTGGAGATGACCCGACGCGGCGGAAGAACACAAGTGGGAACTGGGAACGCTGGGGTTCTTTTTCCACACTTTGGAGGCCCCTTTTACCGTTTTTTATTTTATTTTTTTATTTTCTAATTTCTTATACTTTGTACATACATTTTACGGAGTACTCCGTACTCAGGTGTGGTATACTATATATCAATCTAACTAGATCTCTTCTACATCTACGTACTTTATAGGTTGCTAATGATCATTTCTCTCTCTAGAGTCTACACTAGAGTACAAGAGGTGATAGGTCACTACAACATACATTCCGGAACTGTGAAAAGCGAGAACTACCCTACTCCGTACTCCGTACTCCGTATAGGATAGTACAAACAGGGATTATGGTTGGCTGAATCATCCGCCGTTATTTTTTATCTCCACTATGACAATGACGCGAAACTATGGGAAAGGAGAATTGGCGGAGCTGTCTGACATTAGTTCCGGTCGATCAACTTGTATGGAGTACTTTAACTAGTTATGTTTTACTTTGTTGAGGAGGTATGGAGTATATTATTTTGACTCAAAAATTCGTTTATTTTTTGCAGAGATCAGTATGGATTTCTAATCGTGTGACCTCTCGAATTCCAAAGCAACCTAAATTACCAGCAACGCCCTAATTTGGATCATTGGCTGCCCTAATTTAGAGACCCTAGGCTAGCGCAAGATTCTCACACCGAAGATCTGGAAATCGTATGATTGCCAGAAATTTAAGGAGATCGGGGAATTTTGGTCCTTTTTTTTGGGGTTAGATTCATTATCCATTTATCTCTTCGGCTCATAAATATGTCGCCTTACTCCATAGTACTCCGTACTCATCGTCGATCTAGCCAGCATACAACATACATATTATTCTACAATCCCAAATCAATTACTCTCGCTTTGTCGAGAGACATCACATGTCAAATGTCGATCAAACTGACAGTGATCTATAAGATTTGACATGTCCATTAAAAAACCCTCCCGGACCTAAAATCACATAACTCTGAAGACGTGAGGGGGATCGGACCTTGCTGATCTAGGTAATAGGTAACTACATACGGAGTATATCCGTTGGCTAATTATCTACCTCGACCTCCTCCTTTCCCTCTTCTGCTATCTTAGGGTCTAACCGTCGATGCCGAATGTTTTCCTGACCTCAGGCCGACTCCCGCATGTGCTGAGCAGCGATTGCCGTGGAGATCAGCAGCTGTAGGGTTTCGGCATCTTGGCCGAGCAGAATCGCCTCCTCTCGAGCATCGTGGGCATCCATATGTAGAGTCAGTGACGTATCAAACATGGGTACCAGCGAGTTGCTTTGCGGGTTTAAGCGACAAGCGTTAACAACAGATGTTAAAGTAGCTCTAGTCTCAAGGTGAAATGCTATAATCGTGGGTTGTGACGCTTCTGTCCCAGCGACGGTAGACTTCAGGGTCACTTGATGAGAATGAATGTCTTGAGTGTGTAATGAGTGTGAAAATGTTTACTAAATTCTTGAGTGACGATGGTCGGTGGATGTGCATCGATGAGGGGGGACTGTGAAAGCGAGGGAATGACAACAATATCCATTCAATTACTAGGCAAGGTTGAAATGGGACCGGGGCACAGCTAAGCGCTTTGGACCAGTATCAGAATACTCGAATTACTCAAAACTCATGAAAGCAAATGCCATTGACAGTAAACTACTCAAAACTACCAAAGCTTGCAAGCTGGCTTCCTATCTGGGCAACTAAAGGCATTCTTGAACTCCCTAGAGTTGGCCATAGTTTCCTGTGACAGCGGTTAGTGATGGCACACCAGTAAAGAATTGAACTTATAAGACTCACGATAATTCGTGCTGATTTAGGCGCATGAGGATCGTTATAGATCGCCTGCTCGGCCGCCTCCTTGGTAGTCTTTCCACACCACCAATTACCATAGGATATGAAGAACAGCTGCTCTTTGGTGAAGGCATCCAATCCTGGGAGGTGGAGGTCAGGCTTCGCCTCATCGTGCTTCTTCCATGCGTGGTATGATGCTGTCAAACCTCCAGCATCCGCAATGTTCTCGCCCAGTGTCAGTCGTCCGTTTACGTGGAGAACCTTGTCCTCGGGACCAAGAACGGTAAAGTTGGAATACTGATCGACAAAGCATTGAGCACGCTCTTCAAATGCTTCAACGGTCTTATCGTCCCACCAGTTAGTATAGTTTCCACTCTCGTCGTAGTGTCGACCGGTAGAATCGAAAGCTATATCACATTGGTCAGTTAGAAAATGGCAAGAGCCTTAGAACGAGCTGAACATACCATGTGAAAGTTCGTGGCCACTGACGGCACCGAATGCACCATATGCCAGATACAGAGGAGCGGAGGGTCCATAGAACGCTGGCGGTTGCATAATGCCGGCAGGGAAAACGATCTCATTACCTGGTGGGTTGTAATAAGCGTTGACAGTTGGTGCACTCATGCCCCATTCGTCACGGTTGGTGGGCTTTCCCAGCTTAGACCATTCGCCGCGGAGTTGGAACCTCGCCACGGCCACCTCATTCTCAAAGTAAGTGTCCCTGGACAATTCCAGCTCCCGATAAAATTTATTCACATCCTCGGGGTCTAAAACATTGGGACTCTTCGTGGGAAATCCGATCTTCTGGATGATGTTTCCCACCTTTTCAATTCCCAATTTTCGCACATCCGGAGACATCCAGCTGGTCTGGTCCAGGGTGAAGATAAATCGCTCCTTAATATCGGAAACGATTTGATCGCCAAGTTTCTTCGAGTCCTCGGAGAACGCATCGAGGACATAGAAACGGCTGAGACTCCACTCGAGCCCTTCATCCAGATGTCCAAGGCATTTACGCCATCGCTCCTCCTTAGCCTGAGGCTCTTTGCCAGCGAGTTCATTCTCGAATCGCCTAAGAGGTTCAATGGAGGCGTCCTCGATAACATCCGCAAATGCTTGAATGAGCTTCCACTGCAAGAAGAGCAGGATGGTCTCTCTGGGTGTATCTTTCAAGAGAACAGACAATGCCTTCATGTAAGAAGGCGACCCAACAATGAGGCGGTCACCTTTGTAGTCATGGGGCGCCAAAGATGAAATAATATCAGCAAAAGAGATCTCAGGTATCAGTGCCTCCGTTTCCTTGACAGTAAGAGGGTTGTAGTATTTGGTAACATCTTCCTGGGTTTGGGTGTCCGGAGTCACATCCGCGAGCTTTTTTTCAAAGGCCACAACATCCTCAGCAATTTTGTCAAATCCATCTCCAGCAAGTCCTCGAACAACTTGCTTCAAAACGGATGTGTAGTCAGCCACGGTCTTTGTGTTATTATAGTACTCTCTCGCAGGGAGTCCGATTTCACGAGGCGGCGAGATCATGATAACAACATTATCAGGGTCTCTATCGTCGGGCTAGAAGGAGTTAGTAGTGGCGCCCGTGAATTATAGGCTGCATAGACTTACAGTAACACCGGAAGAAGCCAGAGCCTCGACACCAGCGTTCGCCAGATACAACAGAGCACTAGTGAGTTGATCCTGCGCTCCTTTCACAAGGCCTGCCTTTGCGGGATAGATAGTCTTCAGTTCATCCAGAATCTTAGTCAAAGGCTTGCTACCCCGTTTGCTAACGGTAGCCTCGTCCAAGCAAGCATCGTATGCAGATTTGAGTTTCTTGAAATTGTCAGCATCGGATGACTGCGGCGGTTCTGTGCGCTCCAAGATATGACGAAGTTTAGTCTGGGCATTCTCTCCCATTATTGTGCCTGCAAATATCGATCCCTGGTCGGGCCGCATGTCATGGTGCTCCCTCCATCCACCGCAGACATATTGGTCAAAATCAGTGCAGGGATCTATGTTCTCGTAGTTGGGATCAAGATTGTAAAGGATTTCAGATGCAGCATGAATGCATTCTTGCGACTGGCAAAGCGGGGGAGCCTCGGGGTGTGGGGACGGGTTCTCCTCAGCAAACGGAGAGCCTAATCATGAGGACGGACAGGTTAGCGACGCGTTTTAATAGGGAGAAGAAACTTATACCATGTGGGAATCCTAGATAGTAGGTAATAAAACCGACGAACACAATGACGCAGAGCCCTTTCCTCACGGTTCTCGCCCAGCAGGGGCGAGTTCTTTGTAACTTATTGTGATGGGTGTGGCTGGAAACAAAGACATTGTCCTCGGAATCGTAGACCTCGTTTATATCTAGAAGTGGACCTTTCTCGGACTGCATACTGTGCAACGAGTAGTTGGAGTCACGTTTGCTATGGTCACTAAGGAGCTATTAGCACCTCCTCATGTCTGCCGAGCATGATGCGTCCATGAAGACATACCTGAATGGTGGCAGAGCCGTTCTTGAAAATACTAAATTGTTTTAAGAAGATGATGCTTATCCGAAAATCATGGATTGGGTCTCGGTGCATATATTCTAAAGGTTACTTCTTGGGCAACGAGGAGAAGCTGGGGTCGGAATGGCGTCACACTGGCCCCGGTGAACTCTTGGCGGCTCTAGCTGGGCCTAGGTTGCCTAGGTGCCTACCATTGATGACTCATCTTGCATTCCCGAGGGTCCCGAGGTTCCTTGCATTTCAGCTGAGCTATCAATGGTGAGGATATTCGCTCTGTAAGCTTCTATCTTCTCCAATTTCACACTCGAGTGGACGCTGAACAGCTGCCCTGGAAATATGGTTGTTATCAATTAGCGCATCCCGATTCAGTTTCGCCCTTTTTTCCCCCTCCAAAGAATCCGAGTCAAGAGTGTATCAACAGTCTTCTAAAAAATAGTCTGATCTGTCATTATTTGACCAAGAGTTGTGCTGTATAAATCAGGCTTTATATACAGAAAACCGCATACACAGGTCAAATATCTGCCATTCAAGCCACGAAAACTACGAGCCCAACCTGCAGGACTAGGAACTAGACCACGAGATGACCCCCAGGGGCCGGTCAGGTGGCCACGGGGGTGTGCTTAAGGGCTCAATCTTACACCGAGATTTTTCTTTTTTAAAAAAATGGCAAGAGGTGAGCACGCACATAAACTGAAGGGCTTCGAGCGCCAGCTGTAATCACAACAATGTAGATCACAGTCTAGCCAAAGGCCCATATGCATTGACAATTGCTAGACTTGCTGGGCTGATATCAGAGATGGATCTACAGCCTGTGAGCTGCATGCACCGCTTGAAGTCGTCGAACAGGATCTTAAGCATCAGCTCGACTCCCTGTTGACCGTCATACTACAAAAGGGGTCAGTATACCCGCCTTTATCAATATCCTCAATGTAACCAAGAGCACTTACCGCAAGTCCCCAAAGTGCAGGACGACCAACCCAACAGCACTCAGCACCAAGAGCCAAGGCTTTGAAAATGTCTACCCCAGATCGAATTCCACCATCAATATGAATCTTGATCCGCCCCCGCGCAGCCTTAGCACAGGCAGGAAGCGCATCAATTGTGGCCGGTGTCTCATCCAGCTGCCGGCCTCCATGGTTGCTAATAATGATACCATCGCAGCCATATTCAATAGCAGTCTCTACATCTTCCGGGGTGAGAACGCCTTTAATCCAAATCTCCATCTTCGTGACCTTGCGCAACCACGGTATCTCCGTAGCCCAGGAATGGGAATCCGAGTTTGTCGAGCTAAACCCATCATCATGGGATTGTTGCTGAATCTCGGTAGATGTTCTCTCATACATCGGATATCCCAAGCCAACTGGAGGCATGAAACCATTCCGCCATTCATTCCAGCGCACCCCAAGTACGGGGCTATCTGCGGTTAGAAATATAGCCTTGCATCCCGCAGCCTCAGCCCGACGGACGATTCGTTCTTGTTTAGCTTTGTCGTTCATCGCGTAGAGCTGCATCACATGATGAATTGGTCCCACTTCTTTTCCAGCGACGGTGATCTCTTCAACCGAGTGGTTGGCATAGGAAGAGACACCCATGTTGACGCCAATTTTGGCACAGGCTCGGCTTGTGGCCAGCTCACCTTCTGGGTGAGCCATAGCCTGCATTCCGGCGGGTGAGACACAGAGCGGAAATCTGATATCTCGGCCAAAGAGGGAAATTCCAGTATCAACAAGCGAGACATCCCTCAGAACTCTTGGTAAGAGGCGGTACTTTCTATACGCAGCATAATTGTCATGAAGTGTGACTTGGTTTGTTGCGCCAGAGTTAAAAAATTCTATTTGTCCGCGTTAAAAGCCAAATCCTCGCGAGGGAGAGTCAATACATACCTCTCGCGGAGACGGACAGTGAGTTGGAAGCCGCCTCCTCAAGGTCAGCTATTGATAATATTTTATTTGCCATTGCAAATAAAACAAGAGATGTTGAGAGATATTTACTGAAAGACACACACACACACACACACACACACAATCTTGATAGCTGCAGTCGACGTGAGGGGTAAAAGTGGGGAGCCTTTTCCATCGACATGTCTATACGCACACCGGGGCTCTGATCCACCCTCTAGAAATGGACAGCTTATCGTTTAACATAGATTCTATTATTCTAACAACCTTTATAGTCTACAAATTACGAGCATGTTGACATAGGAAAGAGTACATTGTGTCCACTCAGAACACGCATGTCCCACTGCACAAAGTGCCCCATACCATGATAGATATGGATATGTTTAACTTGAAGCCCCAGGACTTTATTGTAGTACTATTTAGTATATATAGGATGTTGAAAGGACCTCGCCTTAACCATAGCATCTTGTCAACGCTCTGGGCATTGAGACATCTACCGAAATATTGGGTTTGGGGGAGGGGGGCGGGGATCAACCTTGGAAGGTATTTCGGCCTGACTAGAGGCTGTTACAGAGAGCATATAGCCGAATATTATATGCAGTCTTTCGCGCCGTGATTGAGTTTGCCTGTTAAAGTTCAAGCATGGAAAGCCAATATACTCGTATCTTGTTGGGGAATCCACTCGATTAAAAGATCGATTCGCAGGAGTCGTGGAACTTTCTAGCAATTTCAACATATTGCACGTGGAGAAATTCATTCAAATAGAACGACATTCAAGTTATATAGAATTGAGAAGGACTGATATCAATGGATGAAGGAACCTTGAGATGTCAGAAGCCTTGGGCTCCATGTTTCATGGGACCATTAAGATGGACCAGTAGATAAGTCATCCCTCTTTCTGCGTTATATTCTTTATAAATTATTAACCTGGCTTGATAATGTTGATATTTTAGTTATCTTTGTCCAGGGATAGGAACGCGTGGCTCAATGAGCAGTTACAGTTGCTATTTGGCCATGTACATGTTTAGGGGATTACAACCAAAATTGTCGCTACCACTTGATATTGCTTCCTCCTCGAGCTAATTTTAGTATAAAGGCTACTTGCTCACCACAGACTCTTTAAACCTAGGCACTTTGCGGGGTCTTGATACTACAGTCCTCCACATCACACTTTCACATCGGATAGATGAGAGAATATGTACATGATAGGCTACTCCCTCTTGATGCCAAGTTATACCAAGACTTCCCCGGTTTTTATGACCTCCTCTGCTGCTTGGCATTAAGCGCAAAGCTGAGGGGTAATCTTGGTAGTTCTCCAGATTCTTCGATTGTCCATCCTTGTTCCGAGGTCTCTTGCAAGGTCATCGCTATTATGTTGGATAAGCTCGGGTAAGATCCTCTTAAGTATGCACTTAAATACCACCTGTGTATTTATTCCCAACCCATATCACCTTCTTATTCTTTCCATTGTGTTGAGGTATAAACCAATCCATCAATTCACGACAATGGCATCGATTTCAGCAAGCCCCCCAGAAGATGGATCTGTGAAGAAAGAGGACTTGGAGTTCATCCACCTTGAGGAACAAGAGCTGGCACATCGCAGTCCTGGCAATGGATCCTCTGTCTATAGTATTGACGAGGCACATCAGAAGAGGGTCATGTGTGTTCTCTTACATTCCAACATGGTCAATAAGCCAACTCTAATGTTTAGACTAGTCGACGCGTTGATCTCCGCCTCCTCCCAATTCTTGGTATCATGTATTCCATATCCCTTATTGATAGGACCAACCTTGGTCTTGCATTTGTAGCAGGGATGGAGCAGGATCTTGGACTTGACATCGGCAATAGGTATACGGTCGTTGTCATGGTATTTTTTGTGGCATACATGTAAGCTCTGTGATACTACCTGCAAACGTTTTAGGCGCACTAATTTTCTAACTTTGTGTCTCACTTAGTATATTTGAGATACCCAGCGTGTGTCCGCGCACCTCAGTAATCAGGAATTGTTACTGATGAATGAAATTTAGAATCTGATTCTTCCTCGAGCCGGTGCAGCAAACTGGCTAGCGTTTCTTGGATTTAGCTTCGGAGTGATCTTGATTGGCATGGGTTTCACCAAAAGTTGGACCACAATGGTAGCTTGCCGAGTCTTGTTAGGTAAAAGAGATGTCCCCCTTCCAAGGTTTCCTGTTCTACATTAGTGACCCGGTGTCTTTTGTAGGTGTGATGGAAGCCGGATTTCTTCCAGGTATATCGAAATAGACTGTGTCTCCAAGGTGGACATTACTGACTATACAGGTTGCACCTACCTAATTACATGTTGGTATACGAGATTTGAAGTTGGCAAGAGATTGGCCACTTTCTGGCTAGTTTCTGTTGTATTGAACGCCTTCGCTGCAATCTTTGCCTATGCCCTGACTCTTCTCGACGGGAGCTACGGTCTGAACGGATGGCGCTGTAGGGGTTTCACTTCTGTGCCGTGAGAGGAGCAACAGCTGACTACGATTATACTTTAGGGATTTTCATTGTTGAAGGTGCCATTACCAGTGGCATTTGTTTACTTGGCTGGTTCATTATCATCGATTTTCCGACTCAAGCAGATACATTTCTCAAGCCGGAGGAAAAAGAGTTTATTATCGCTCGCATTAACAACGACAGTGGAGATGCTGAAGAGGATCCAATTACCATGGAACGGATTCTTCATCATCTTAAGGACTGGAAGTTGTGTGTCTGGGCATTCAATCTCATGGCCTCCACCCTGCCTGGATACGCGTACAGCTATTTCAAGACAGTCATTCTCATGGGCATGGGTTTTAGCAACACGCAGAGTCAGCTTCTCAGTGCCCCGCCGTATATTATTGCTGCATTCTTTACATATTTGGGTGGCTGGCTCACCGATAAATACCAAATCCGCGGGCCGGTAATTGCCGTTCATCAACTACTGACAGCAGTGGGTATGTTGATCACAGCATATGGTGGTGCAAGTGGGGCAAGGTACTTTGGTATCTTTATGGGTGAACTCTCGATCTTTTCATTGTGGATAATTATATATCTAACGTTATACTCCAGGTGTGGGTTTCCTACAGTTTTGTATCCCCGGTGTGCTGGCATTCCAAGCGAACAACATTACTTCTCACTCGAAGCGTGGAGTCGCGTCAGCAACCTGTCTCATTGGTGGGGGTCTTGGGGGCATCATTGCAAGTGTCACATTCAAGTCCGACGAAAGCCCGCATTATACTACAGGCATTTGGGTAACATTTGGTATTACAATGGTTAGCATATGCTTAACCCTAATAATGGACTTCCACTTTTGGAAAACAAACAAAAAGGCCCGGGAGACAAATGGTCAGATTGAGGGTATGTCAGGATGGTACTATACTCTTTGAGCATGACATGTTGATATGTTGATATTGGAGGAATTGCGAAATCGATAGGTGGCTTGTGTTAGACAGCCACATGACAACAAAGCTTCAACTCTATGCGGTGATTTTATTTTTCAATTTGCTTGCAAGTAATAGTACGTATTTTGTGGGACTCCATTTCACCGCATGGCCAGAGCATAAAGAGCGCATTGAAAGACTAGTTCTGCTAAGATGACCTTGGCCCCATTGATTTTCTTGTACCACCCAGCGTCAGTTTTATACATCCTTCCATTGATGCCCAATGAGAGCCGCGACCTCAGCTACAAATGATCGACTCGAACCAAGGCTGACAAAATGCAAAGCGGCATCGATCCCATTGACCATAGCGCCCGTTGTAATAATTCTGACTCCGAACTGATTCCGACCAGCATCCAGATATGAAACTAATCCCGAGGAATTCTCGGGGACGACTCGAGTCCCTTTTGCACCGGGAGTTTGATCCACATAACGCTGGGTTACAGCTCGTAGCCCAGAGACAGCAAGACGGTGTGTGGTTGCAGTGAGGCCATCAAGTACACCTCCAGAGGCTAAGAAGAAGGATCCGATGCAGACGGCCAAGATTGTGCGCTGCGGCGCGCTATCTTGATCTATATCCGAAGCAAAACAGCTGATAAATTTGACAAGCTCCGATAACTGCCCCTGCTCGGGTTGCACGTGTGGTATGATATTATTTGGTCGTGAGCCAGGTACAACCAATATTTCATAGTCGGGCAGATTAAGTTTGGCTTCAGCAAGGGATATATCTCTCTTAACCGTTGCGTTCTCTTGAGATGTTGTGAGTTCATCCTTGGCGGCATAGCTCACCGAGAAGTCCGAGTTGTATAGTACTGAAACTGGACCGCTCACATCGAGGATGTTGAACCCAGGGAAGATAACCACTAGTGCTCTTTTCTGTATGTGGCTCATTGTAGACAGTGAAGATTATGGAGAAGACAAGACTTGGTTCTGCGAGGTGTGACCTCTACGTACCTGGAATTCTTCAGTGACGTCATCAATAGTCTCTTCCGAGGTTGATCATCTGAACCATTTATCTCCCAATAGTCGAAAAACACAATTCTTGGCTATACATAGAAAAGTCGATTGCACAAATTGCTGCCGTCTATCTATGAAACTGAAGAGAGGAAAATATCTGCAAAAAAAAGACTACCAAAAATACCTGCCAAGGCCGCATAAGCGGCCAGCTACCCTAAGGTTGAGGCTAATATTTTTGGAGCCTTCCAAGTTTGGAATGCTTGTATGCTCAACCACTGTAAGGATAAATTTTGAATAGCCGATATTCGAAAGTATACGGCTGAATGCCCTAACCCTCTAGTATCTTTAGTGTGAAGAAATAAGCCTTTGCATCTATTGATCAAGCTGCGTTGGCAAACAGACTAGACATGGACGGTGGAAGACCAAGGATTCCTATTGTTGAAATAAAATTTTACTAATCTTGTGGGTTTGTTCAATCACAGGTTATATATAAAAAAGTCCCTAACAAAAAGTATGCTTTTTTTTACCGCCTTTCTATACGTTTGAAAAGATCAGCTGAAAAGACATTGCAAGGCCGCAAACGGGGCCGACTATTCTTGTTGATTACTATTTAGTTTTGCTAGCTCCACCATCGGTGTATCTCATCCCCTTATGGAAATGGAGAGACAGGCAAGAATCCCGTACGGAGTACTCCGTAGTCCTTATCTCTAAGCAGGGGACTAAAAAAAAAAAAACGGAAAAGAAAGGAAAAACTAGAATACAACAAAATATACTTTCAACAGATCAGTTTTAGGAGTATGTATTCCGGTCCTCACAATCCTTCAGGACCACTGTCTAAAGATAGACCTATCAAAACGGCCACTAAAAACGGTTATGGTTCTCCATATTTCATTATGTTTGTCATTTGCTTCTTTTACACTTTGAAAAAAAACCCCGAATAAATCCGATGCCCCTATCTCAACTGATTTTACAAGTACTATACTAGACTAGGTATATCAGCTCCGGAGCTATTCCCGAACGACTCACGCTCGGACATTGAAAACCCAGAAACTGGACCTGCTGTCAAATGCTGACTGACAACGTTTAAATTACTCGAATCCTTATTCAACGCCCCTGAATAGTTTGGCCGTTGGATGTTGGCAGGCTTGACGCTAAATTTTGCACTGGCCACATAGTTCCTGCTAATGTACTCCGTACTCCTACAACATACAACAGTACGGAGTACGAAGTAGGTATGTTTGTAAATGGGAAGATGAGATCTCATATTAGATAGTCTTTAGGAGTGGACATATTTTATGTATGGCGTTTGGTTTTGTCGATCGTAAACCCTGTATATTTACATGTTTTCTGTGTTGACGCGAGAGTTATATTGCAAGACTTTTAGATAACAGAAATTTGTTATGTGTGGATAAGCATGGTGATCAGGCTTAAGGTTTTAGTCTAAAAATTATACGGAGCTTCATGACACCAGTGGATCATCCATTATACATAAATAGTAGGGTGTCAGGAGATGAGTATGCTATATGCAAGTCGATACCTCGGGTATGCCTTCCGACTGTCAAAGAAATGACACTGCACACGTGGGAAACTTCTCTAAAGTTGCATGTGGAGGCGGAACCCAATCTCAGGGTTTGAAGATGAGTTGTTGTTTACATCAGTAAGCAGCTGGTAAGCACTAGATTTCGACCCACCAGGTACTCCGTACTGCGTTTTTTATGCTGTACGTACCATAAGCATACAACATATGAAGTAGTCTCGATCGCATCTCCGGGATGGCGAATCTTATACCATATCGGGTCACGGAGAATCTTTGTTCGGTGATGTGAACTAGGTTGGTCCAGGTTGATCCGGATTCATCCTACTCCGTACAACAATACAACTTACGGAGTATTCCGTATGTATATTCTTAGGATCCTAAATAAATGTATCATGGCTTTTGAGAGGCCAATCAATCCCCACAGGTCCATTTTACTAGTCCCAAAAAGATCACCCCCTGCCTTAGTCGCACGACGGCGTGGTGAGATTGCCCGCAACTAATGAAAATCATATCTTGAAACTGGGGGCTGCGAACCGGTAGAATTGGGCAATTCGTCTTTGTTTCAGACTCTCTTGGCGGGCCTAGAGTGCTGAGTGTTGCGAAAGGAAATAATAAACAAGTAGTCATGGTCCACGGAGCATCTGTTTCTCTTGATGGAGCCCTTCACAATGTGCTTGATGGTGTGGAAGTGAGCGAATGTTGGATTGGAGCTCTCTGATTGGTTTGTGCGGAACCTTCTAAGCGCTGTAATCCGCTCCTAGCCTCAGGTCCGTTTCAACCTCGGCAGAACTATGTTGTATGATTGTGGATGTACTCCAGTTGATTTGAGCAATCCAAAGCTCAGGGGGATCTACTCCGTACTGGACGGAGTCAACACATCTGTGGGAAGTATGGAGTTATGCTGTACGGAGTAGAGAAGAAGAGCAAGAAGCCCAAGGTGATCCAAGTAGATCTTTAGTGTTGAACCGGGACAGGAATCCGCCAACGTTTCAGAATGGCCCTTGCATTAGCCACTGGCACGCCCATGCGGGTTTCAGCACCTTCATGTCGATCGCCAGAGCTTTGCATTCCACATTGGCTTGGCGAATGCACAATTTGTATTCTGTACATCATGTACCGTATCAGGTGTAACTATTGTGTACATTGTACATCAGATGTTGTACATGTTTTCATGCCATTTCTTTCTTTTGAAAAAGAAAAAAAGAAAGAGAGAGAGAAAAAAGAAAAAGAAAAATAGAAAAAAAAAAAAAAAAAAAACAANCAATATCGAATTGTTCTAGAAATCCTGGTGATTGGATCAACGCGTGGGTGTAGCCACTTTCAATAGTGCCATTTGATGGATCTCTGAAGTTTTTCAATCTCTCTTTGTATCCTGCCAGACTGTAAAAGATATATAATCAGAACAAAGTAATAGAATAATCGATGAAGAACCGAACTGCAGTATCTGTTTGTAGTTATTGATAGTTTACAACTTGTAGACATTGCAGACAGGGATCAAGCGCCCCATGGTGGATCGGCCTAGCGGCCCCCTGGGAACAAAGTGAAGATTTAGACGGAGTACGGAGTAAAGCCTTTGTATAATACAAAGAGAAGATCGTCAAAAGAAAATGGGATTAAAGAGCCAAAATCACGGAAATGATAAAAGGGGGGAAGAGACATAGATCCATAAATATTCCTTCAAATATTCCTTCAAATATTCCATTCCAGAGAGAATACCTGAAATTACTGAAGATACCGAATGTTGACAGATACCAAAGTCAAAGATACCGAAATAAAGATACAAAATACGAGAATATCTGACAGGAGGTGATCACCTCTCCCCGCTTGTGGACTTGTGGACTTGTGGACTTGTGGACTCGCTCGTGGGACGGGAAGACGTACGACCAGCCTTGAATGCGCCATTCCATTTCTTCCATTTCTCGCCCCCTCTCTCTCCCCTCCGGAGAACTCGGCTCTCAGCTTCCGAAACGTCCTTTTGTCCTCAGAGTCGAGTAAAGCCCATCTTTTGAACTTTGGAACGCGATCTCGGCTTCCCCCCGTCACCGCCAACGTCTTTCTCCCTCAAGCTTCCTATTTGGCCTTCGGTAGGCTGACGTTGTGTCGCTCACACGAATTCGGCACCTGTCTCGGAAGATAATCTGGCCCAATTGAAAACACAACCGTCCAATTTGCAACGGAACGTGGTCGATAGGTGTGGGGAACAACGGAAGCACCGATCGAACCTTTCAAGCTTCTGCCTATCACGTCGCACACCAGTCATTCAACGTTGGGTTGGACTTTGGCAGATAGGGGAGGATTTGTGTGTTCTTTTTTGAAGGTAGGTACATCTACTACCTCGGGCGGAGAGTCTAGTCGCATGTCAAGTCCGGTGGAGCCTAGTCGAGTCTTTTGTCTCTGAACTTCGACTGGACTCCCGTGTGGCGCAATTCAGGCGCATCCCTGATTCAGATCAAACACACGTCGTTGATGCGTCGAGTCCCTTGTTAAACCAATTCAGGCCGGAATGAACCGTTGCTAACCACCATCGCGCTAGGTAGTTTGTCGTTACCGGACGTAAAACATGGGCTGCTTAGTTTCGAAGCCCGAGGAGGCTGATAGGGATGCTTTCCAACGCAATGCGCGCATCGACCGGACCATCAAAAATGACAAGAAGACGCTGGACCGGACCATCAAGATTCTGCTATTAGGTGGGTGGTTCTCGGTCGTTCGTTGGCGGCTCACATCAGTGTCGCGTTGCTAACAAAATGCCCAGGAGCGGGAGAGTCCGGCAAGTCCACCATTATCAAGCAGATGCGAATCATCCACAGCCGGGGATTCCCTGAGGAAGAGCGTCACCAAACCCGTGCCATAATCTACTCGAATATCGTCATTGCATTCAAGGTTTTGTTGGATATCATGAATGCCGAGGAAATCGATTTTGAGAACGAGGAAAAGATCAGGGTACTATCCACCCTCCTCAAGAAACCAACATCAGCTAACGAGGCTTGAAAGCCCTTTGCGGACCTATTAGACAATACGGACCCAGATGTAGGGTCCGACGAAGCCTTCTCTGATCTCGAGGTTCGCGATGCGATGAGGGCCATGTGGAAGGATGAAGGTGTGCAGAAGGCTGTTGCACGGGGGCATGAATTTGCTCTCCATGACAACCTGCACTAGTAAGTTGAATTGGCGATAGGTTACATGAATCTAGGCTAACGAAACTTAGTTTCTATGAATCTCTCGATCGCATATTCACTCAGGGCTGGCTTCCTGATAACCAGGACATGTTACAGGCTCGACTTCGGACAACGGGTATTACGGAAACTCTGTTTGAGCTTGGACAGATGAACTTCCGCATGATGGATGTTGGAGGACAGCGGTCAGAACGGAAGAAATGGATCCATTGCTTTGAGGGTGTCCAGTGTCTGTTGTTCATGGTCGCCTTATCCGGATACGACCAATGTCTGGTCGAAGACCAGAATGCTGTAAGCACAATTTTCCATATTTCTTCGATCGCACCGCTAATCACATTTTACAGAATCAAATGCATGAGGCCATGATGTTATTCGAATCATTAGTCAACGGCGAATGGTTCAAGCGCAAACCAATCATTCTATTCCTCAACAAGATTGATCTGTTCAAAGGAAAACTCGCTATCTCCTCCATTTCGAAGCACTTCCCAGATTATACCGGCTCTGACACCGACTACGATTCCTCGGCACAGTACTTTGCAGACCGATTCCGTGGCATCAACCGCATCCCAGACCGCGAAATCTACATCCATTATACCAACGCAACTGATACAACACTACTCAAGGCGACTATGGATTCAGTACAGGACATGATCATCCAGAAGAATCTGCATACCTTAATACTATAAGGTAGAGGCCCTCAATTCCCCGAGGAATCCCCCATGACCGTCTGTCAGTGACGATGATTTCTTTTTTTTTTTTTTTTTCTCTCTCTCTCTTCATTTCCTATTTCTCAAGCTCTTCAGCCTACCAGTTACTTTCCGGTTGCATTCCAGGGCGGCTACTATTCGTTCACTCATTCGTGATCATTGCCATTTCTCATTTTCTTTTCCTTTCGTTCTTGTTTTCTAACGAGGCGTCTTGACTGCGAGGTTGTTGTCTGCTCTCTGCTCACATCATTGGGTCTATCACGTTGCATCCAAAAGCCTATCCGATTTCGCCAACTAATGCCCACGCTTCCATTTAGCGACTGTGTCGTTGCCATCTCCGTTTCTCTTCCTTTTTTTTTGGTTTAAAGCAGAGTGATACCATTTTTTTGTCTTTGCAGCTGTGTTTAATAACGACTGCTCTGTATTATCACAATCATTCTAGGCCTTTATTTATTATATATTATCTCTGAATGAACTCGATATCCTGCTCTCTAATGAGCACTTTTTTCACTCTTCGGATTCTAGTCTCAATGTACCTTAAAAAAAATAGGTTTAGTTACCAGGTCCTCAGCTCGCTTACCACCGCATTCCTTGCTGTAGATCACACGACATGGACCATTTATCCCGGGCTACACCACATAGAACACTAGAATCCAAGAATAAACCAGATGACCCGAAAAAACCACACAGTCGATATGTAAAAGAAGACGGTTCTTCCCCGTCAAGTCGACTCACGCGAGTTCAGAATTGCCTGATGTGTTCATGAACTTGACGCCTTAGGCACTGATATTACATAACATCCGCATGATCAGTGACCCCGAGTTCCGGGCCGACTGATTTCGCCTCCGGTTCAGACTCATTCACCTCCCCAGTGACTGGGTTATCTGCCAAACATGTTGTCAACATCCTTACGCCGGGCGGCATGGACCCCCATGCCGCTTCCTGGGATAACTCGCTCCGGTCAAAATCTTACCAGCAGCTTGCTCGGCGCAACCCGACCTCTGCACCAACGCCGGTATTCCTCCTCATCCTCCAAACCGCCCGTCCCGCCCAGCGATGGCTCCCGACGATTGGACACCTCTGCCCCGGCAAAGGGGGTTAACTCGTCTAGCGAGAAAAGTAAGGCTAACCGCCGTCGGGGGAAGGACAGCTCTGCCCGTAACGGATCTTCAAAATCTAGCCAATATACGGCATTTTCCAACCTCCCAAGTGTGCCCTCGACACAGCACCGACAGCCACACGGTGAGTGTTAAACCCCCAGCCAGCTCCATATATGATATTGTCACTGCAAAGAAATACCCTGAAGCTGACTTTTCTTTCTTTCTTTGTTCGCTACTAGATGTTCATGTAGCATCATTCTTCTCCATCCACCGACCAATCTCGGTGACGACTACTGTGCCCCCGACCTCGAGCACCGACGCCTTCGAAGCGATCTTCTCATCAAAGCGGCCGCTGAAGAACGAGCCGGAGGACGTCATCTTCACTCTTTCTTCGGCCGTGCAGTCGATGGAAACTGGCTCTCAGGGCATGTCAGAATCCGAAGACCAGTTCCGAAGCTTCAGCGAACAGGATGGCGAACTCCGTATGCTGGATGGCCCCGATGCAAAGTTTTCCGTGGAGGAATACACCCGTCGTCTTCGCCCATTCCAGCCTCCTCCCCCGCCCGTCCCTATGGACACATCCGCTGCCGAGACTGCCGAGACTGCCGAGTCCACTGATTCTCAAATCGACAACGAGTACCAGACCTACTCGACCGTCCTTACGATCCGCGAAGCTCGTCACGCCGACGGTCGCAAGACCTATGAGGCACACACGGGGCCTTTCGTTCGCAACGGAGAGATGGAGGACCCATCTGATATGCGCGACGAGATCTCCATCGAGGCGCCCTCTGATTCTACCGCAGGTATGACATATATGGAACGACTGCGCAACAATCACACCATGCATGCCATCAGCACCATGAGACGGCGCAAGGCCAAGATGAAGAAGCACAAGTTCAAGAAGCTGATGAAGAGAACGCGTACCTTGAGACGGAAACTCGACAAGTAGAAATGTGCTAGAGGTTCCCTGGTATACTTTTCTTCTTTTTGCCGTCAGTTGCATCTTGTCTGCATTTTTGGGTCGAGGCTAGTCTTGTGAGAGTTCAGGGGCATATATCCTTGTTTTCATGCATTTTTTTAATACTTCCTCGTTCTCCCCTACTTGTTCTCTCCCGCCTATACTCGATCAAATATCCACACATACCTCTTCTCCCTTCTTCTTTTTCTTTTACTGCAAATAGCTGTTCTTGCGCAGAAGTGCGGTCTTTAGTTACTGCATTATGTGGGCATTAAATCTCCCCATGCATTGCGGATAACCTAATAGATATTGATGACTTGATTTCTGTTATGACGCTGCTGCTTTCTCTCATTTGGGTGTCTTTTCATCTCAGTCAATATGATTAGGTAGCACTAGAGTAGGGAATGTCTCAATTTCACATGGTCATCTCTTCTAAACTTGCCCATTATATCCCAAGAATTGGACTATGAGTGACAACACCGTAGGGCTGATCGCGAATGCACAAATAGGGATTTACTGTCCTTCTAAACCCAACCCTAGGCAATGAAGGGCATGCAATTAAAAGAATTAAAACAATCCCGATATGGGAGATAGATGCCTACAAGGAAGACAAGGTACGAGAAGTTAAGAAACAAGAAACTCCTTACAGCAGACCCTGCCTAACCCCATAATGGAAGAGAGGACGGAGACTCAAGTCCCGGATCAGCGAATTTCATATAAAGTACAGAGTCCAGCGCGGTGTCATGCAATATAAAGCCAAAAAAAATCCAGTATCTACCCACAGCTATCCACCGAGTCCAGGACGAATGCTTGAACAGATTCCCTGATTCTACATCCACTCAGTCATCGAATCTTCACTCTCAAATGGGCTGAAATCGATTTATGACATTCCGATATCATCCAATCCTGCACCCGCACCAAGTTTATCATATCAGGTTCCCCGGCCGAAGAGGCACATTGATTTGCGTCGGGGAAATGTTGAAAAGGCACACTCGGGAATGAACCAAGAATCGCGTAGGTGCAGTCCATGGGGCGATTCGAGGTCCAATTCCCTGAATGCAGCGGGAAGTCTTTTCTAGCAGACTCCTTTCGAGCGGGAGTTCATGAGAAGAGCAACAATCAGCCCGTACAGACCTGCGAACGGGGGGGGATTGGTTAGATGCGATTGTACGTATTGGTATGGGGAGCAGCCACGACTTACCCAAGACTTCAGCGAAAATGAGAATCAGAATCATTCCGACATACAGTCTAGGCTGTTGAGCCGTTCCACGAACACCCGCGTCACCAACAATACCAATAGCGAAACTGCAATCCGAGTTAGAAACAAAGCTCTAAAACAATGGTAGACATCCTGTGTCGCAAACTTACCCCGCAGCAAGACCAGCCAGACCAACAGACAGACCAGCACCGAGCTGAATGAAACCAGTGTAGAGAGGAAGCGTCTGGTTCAAGTCATTGGCGACCAGGACCGACACGACAAGGCCGTAGATACCAATGATACCCGCCATGACAATGGGGACAATGTCTGGAAACCGAGTCAGCGAATTGTTGCCATATGTCTTTGTGCGACACTAGGAACATATCATTGCCATATTGGCAGAGCTATTGTTGAGATCGACATACTCTTAACGATCAGGTCGGGGCGGAGGACGGCCATGGAGCAAACTCCGACACCAGCCTTAGCAGTTCCATATGCGGCACCGAAGCAGGTGAAAACGATAGCGGAGGTGCAGCCCAGCGCACCAAAGAAGGGCTAAAGGAAGAAATATCAGTTACCATTCCGATGCATTGTGAGCAGATGGATGACGCGGAGGGGCCGAGACACGAGTGATTGACTTGATTGTGCTCAAGTGTCGAGATCTAGCATATAAGAAGACTCACCGCATAGACGGGGCTGTCAAAATCCAAATGTTAGTAAGGCTGATCCATAAATTATGGGGAATGACGGGCTTGATAGCAAGGTGTCCATCGGAAGCTGTCGAGCACCCAGGGGCTGGAGGGAGGTCTGGCTGACGACTTACCAAAGTTCGGTTGCCATTTTGATGAAAGACGACTCGACGAGGTTCTCGTGGAGTAGTTTGAGCTTTGAAAAGAAATAGAAACACCCGAGGTCGGCAAGCTCAGTTGGATGCGGTCGGGGAGGATGGAGAGTCCAGAGGCTTGGAGGTCGACGGCAAACATGCTGGCCTCTCTGGGTCACGTGTAATGTCTTGGCATATCCACCGAGACAAGAAAAGACTACACGGCATATGTGACATGTATATGGAGTAATATAAATTCAGCTTTGATAGGTTTGTTCAGTTGGTTATGTATTGCATTATTGTACATGTATCATTTTTTTATACAGTTTCGAGGACAACTCGAGATCCTGGAATATTCAGCTTTGTGCATGACTCCGACAGCATTTCTCCTTTGATGGGCTGCGAGTAGGCAATCGCCTTCTCGGACAATGCTCCAAAGGTGCGAGGCAGAGAATTGACCTTACTGCTGTCTTCATCCGTTGCATGTGTCTCAAGTTCCATGGAGTCAGCTACCATTCCAAAGTGATAGCTGATAGGCTCTTCCTGCAAGTCATTATTCCTCGAAACACTACCCTGTGCCCCAGTCGGTTCTACCGACACAAAGAACTGTATATAATCACCTGCAGCAGCAACCTGTGAAAGTAGAGATAGATCGTCTACAGTGATCCCTTTATCAATAGAAGGGAGTCTGTCCAACTGTATGGTATCAGGATCAAAAACTTGACTCAGTGCGATAAGATCGTCTTGGTTGGCAGTCCCTGAGAAACCAACTTCGGGATCCAGCGAAAGAAGGCCTTGCTTCTTTCCCCATCCACCTCCCCCGCTCATGACACGGTGCAATTTCCCGCCTTGTTCCAGGGATTGGATCAAGCGATCATGAGTAGACGAACCTGGATCGGTCACCTCTAAGTCAGGTTTCTCGACCAGCGCCCATACGGATACACGCTGGTCAATGATATTATGTTCTGCGATATAACGGGGAAGCTCCCTCTCGAGCTCCGACGAAGCAGGCATTGTGTCCGTCGACGTCACATCCGTGGATTTCGCTAGTTGCCGTAAAATGTTCCCCATGCTAGTCATGACTCTTCGTCGTTCAGTCACTGGATGCAATGGCAACTCCAATGCGGTATTTACAGCCTGGGGAGTGGCTGTGATCATGCAGCTTGTGAAATCGATCGAACTGTTCAAAGTGTACCCGTTTGAGGTTTCATCCCAAAGCCAGCGTGTACCGAATATTGTTGTTTCTCTCCCATTGACAAATATAGTGTTCGCTAGACGCAATCCGATCTCGTGCGCAGGTCCCTTGCTGGTTTGACCAATCACTTTGGGTTGGAATGAAAACAAGAGATTGGTTTCCTCGCTAGCAGAGGTTCTAATGAGACGGGGTGATGCAGCCTTTGCCTGGACACCTGATTGCCCTACTACCAGAAGCGACAGCCCTTCGGACTCACTTAAATTTGTGCTTTTGGATGTAGTATTCGGGAGTGCGTCAACCACAGCTGTAACGGCATAGAGAGTATCGTTCTCCGGGGAGTTTCCATAAAGGCGACCGAGAAATTGCGACAAGAAAGGGCTAGAAGAATCGAGCCAGTGGGCAAAGTTTGGGGTGACGAGGAGGAGAGGAACAGAAGCAGACGCAGCTGATGGGCTCACAGGCCCCGAAGGAAGACTGGACAAAATATCATCTGGGGTCTTTTATTGTTTAGTTTGAATATCAAAGGTGTAGAAATGTTGATTTAGCTCACTATCTCTTCTCCTGTCTTTGTGAGCCATGTGTATGCCAAAGGCCGCCCATCTCTGGCCGGGTTCTGCGTCGCGTACCATCTATTTGCGCGACCGAGAGTTCCGGGGGCTTTGCATGAGCTCAGAAGCTGCCGGTGTCCGGAATTGAGGGCTACCCTCATCTGTTTGAATCTCATTGGCATTGAGATATCAATGTCAAAGCTGGTCCAATTAGGAAAACGCGGAAGTCATTGCGGAGGATAGTGGGTCAGTCGCGGAACGGAACATCTGTTTGCACCGTCCTCGGTACTATGTAGAGATCACTAGGTAGTTATGTCCAATGAAATGAACTTCAGATTCGGATTGATTCGTTTTAAGATGAGCTAAACTTCTTATTGACACAGTCCAAAACCTGTGGAAATGCGAATTTAGTCCTCAATCCATTTGAGCAAGAGCCGTAGAAGACCTCAGAGCATCACATACATCCGTGGATATGTTTCATGGTCAATATAGAAAAGTTTGTATGGAGTATATTTTGTGTGTTTACTGCATTTTCATATTTCTAGCTATAAAACCCATAAAGGGAACAAGAGACCCAAATTGACGTCCAAAACGACTTTGAAAACAAAACCAGTAAAAAAGACATCACAAGGCTACATAAACTGCCGACTTTTCTTGTTCACCTTACATGTATGCTTCCAAGTTTTAGGTGAATTTAATATTGACCATGCAGTAAGATAGTAATGGCTATCCTACTATAATATTGCGTTAGTGGAATTGATTTTCCTTATTGTGCGAAGCCTGCTGAGAGAAAAAGCGCTGTTGTAACTAAGTCTAGCCATGCTCCAACTGTGTGCAAAGGAATATCGCGCGAATACCCAGTACGAAGCCTCAAGTGCCTCGGAGATCAGTGGGCTTTTCAGATGCCGGCTCCGGCTAGAAAGAACCAAACAGTTACAGCACCGACTATCCAGATTTACCCCGGTAAATACCTCGTTGGGGCACTTACGGATAGGACATACCATTGCGTTCTCGGGAGGTCCTAAAAAAGTACTTATTTCTTCTAACCGAAGCACATAAGCGTAGACTATCCAACCGCAACGCACCAGATCTCGAGACTCAAAGAGCCAGAATGCCTGCCGCTTACAAGCCGCTAGAGAAGTCGAAAGAGAATCTAGATCACTGGCCCAGAGGAGTCGGGAGAACATTCAGCCGCTGATGTTGGGCACACTACAAAAAGCAACGGCACTGTGAACCAAGTCCGCGGCGTGGATCTCTTGCAGAACATAAGGAACTGCTTGCTAGGAGTAGCGATGTGTGAACAGGGCTGAATAGCACATTGACTAGTGGATCCATTGAACCGTCAATGACCAATGATATTAGCTATCACATAGACATGGGGTTGCGAAGGGGACTTGATCGGTGACAGTAGGAAAAGAGGCTTGCAATACATGGATTTAGTCGCATTTTATAACTGCCGTGTAAGATCTATAGACGTCCCGCAGTAGAACTCTTTGCTAGATGATGTTGATTTTGGTTGGAAAGCGATGTGTAGACCCGACTTTACAGTCTATTGACGATGTGTATACGGTAGTAATTTTCCTTCTAAATTTGGTATAGAACGCGTGTGCACGATCTTTCACCTCAATGTTTTTCTCTTGGTTGTGTCGCTAATCATTGCCTTCAGCCACTTTTTTTTTGGTTTTAGTGAAGTCATAAACGCCAACCCTGTAATGACGATACTAGGGGCCTTGGCAGGTGGGGGCAAAGGGCCCATCATAGGGCTGAGCTGTCTGGGCACGACCTGGAACTTTTGGCGCCATAAACTGTCCAGCAAATACTTGGCAGACCTAACCAAGTAAAGATTCCCGTCAAAGTTAGAAGTGACGGTGTTTGGAAAGATCGTCACCATCATGAGACTTGGACTGCAGTATGGGCGCATAGCTACATAATATGTGCAGGTAGGTAACAAAGAACTCCGTGCTGTAAAGCATATACAGTCAAACAGAAAACAAAAAATAGAAATGCAGGCTGATTCCCAGCGCCAAGCTTTCTCCAGGCAGCGAGCAAAAGAATGAACGGGATAGGTTGGGGGGTTGGTCACAGCCGCCAGGACAGAAGATCATTATCTTGGCGACCCTGGAAGTAGTTATTTACCAAGTTTAAAATTAAAATATGAACTATGTACTTTGTACTATGTAGGTAAGAATGTAGGTGAGAAAAATAAAAAACAGAACAGCGGTCATAGTCCTAAGCCACATTCATAACCTGGTGCCTTGATGTGCCAAAATTGGTCGGGTTCTTTTTTGAATGAGCCACTGGTGGCGGTCTATGATGTAATGATCCAAGCTCCCTTTTTAAGTCCCTCCCCTTTTAAGACTTCTTTCCCTCCACTTCCCATCTCATTTCCCCCCGTTAACATTTCAAACCTCCATCAAATCTGCCCAAAATGCCTTTCACCGCTTCGTAAGTTGTTGTCTTTGCTATGGGCTGTAGCTTCTACAGTCCTAGTCTGCACCCTGTCGCCCTATTGCTCTGTCGCCCTGCCGCCCTCACTCTCAACCCTCCAGGTCGCGTTACCTGTGAGACTATGTCCAGTGTACTAATATTGTTGACAGTGACATCTGCAAAATTATCTTTGCCATCATCTTGCCTCCTCTGGGTGTCTTCCTGGAGCGCGGATGTGGTGCTGATTTCCTCATCAACATCTTATTGACCATTCTGGGATGGATCCCCGGTGTCATCCATGCCATGTATGTGCTTATTTGACGAGTTTCCAAACTCTAGCGACAGCTGCTAACCATATTACAGCTACATTATCTTTAAATACTAGAGATACCCACCTCCCACGCACCCTCGCAACGAACGCCTTTCAAGACTAATATCCCTTGGAAAGCGATGCATCGCGACCGATTTTACATCCATCCTTACTCTTGCCTTGTGCTTTGAGTGAGGGTTGGTGCGATTCGATACCCTGAACGTCGGTGTCAGCGTGATTCCGTGGAGGTCCGGTTGAGACTAGCCTAATGCAGCCTTCACCACTTGGCATTCGGTCCGACACGAGTCCGACATAATGTCCATAATTCCCTAATCTTTTGTGCGGTCGCATCGTTATGTTTTACTTTGCTTCTTTTCCCTTGTTTACTCGATACTGCGGGTTCTTGCTTTTTCTTTGAATGATACCAGCTCATACGGACTGACTCTGGGGCTTTGTTTTTTTTCGCATCAATGCCCGCCGTTGGCTAGTCTTTGATGAATTCATGGGAATGGGACTTACTACTACAAACTACCGAGTTGCTTGTGCGTAGAGAGTGTATAGAAAAGAACCTGGAGATTGGAGGGTTTCTAGGTACGGAGTACTTAGAACATCCCTCGCAATTTCTAAAAGAGCACTCCGTAAAACTAAACAAGATTTGATCCTAACATAATGAGCTCTATAGACCCCAGCCACCACATGAGGCAGGTGCAACTGCTCCGTAACTGTTCCGGGGGCATACCAGGGTAGACCATCAGCAACACCCGAATAAAAACCAAACAGGTAACTTGGATAAATCATCGTTAGGCGGGTAACTCGCAACTATAGCGAAACCAACCACAACGCTGTACAGAAATTGACCAAAATAATAAATCCCAGTCACTCATTCACTAAGTTTGAGAAATCTGAAACCTAGCCCGGCGCCATCCACAACTCGTTCTGCAGCCTAAGCGCTTTCGATAGCCCGGCGCGTATCGGGGCCGCTTGCAAGGCCCCATCCTGACTGGGCGCTTTACCTCTACAGCGATTCGTCCAGAAGTCTCCAAGGGTGATCTTACTACTAATTAAAATGCCATGCAGTTTCACTCTAGCGCCTATACATACACAGCCTCAAGTACTGTGTTTCAGAATGATGTCGAAATGCAGATACTTGGCCCCAACAGTCGATGGGCGTCATGGAGAGTTTTCCCTCGCGCCTAGAATTATACTGCGTTCTGACTTCGTGTTTAACTAGATTGGAGTCCTTCATTTGGTTGTTTGTTTGGTATTTACTTCTTCTTTCTGGTGTTATATGCTTGTTTTGCTGTCTTCACGCCATTTGCCATTCAATTCGCAGACACATCTACCAATTATAATTATGGTAGCCACATGTACAAGTCATCACGGGTAATCACTCCCATGCAGGAATATACAAGGTTAGTTGATGGGAGAAGCATATATGTCGGATCGTCGCTCATGGTGAACATGTATAGGGCTACCGCAGCATGCTCCTCCTTCCCAACCACAGGATACTCATTGCGATCCTCCTCTTACTCGTACTCTACTCTACCGCCGAAGATACCTCCAGCGATGCATCAAACTCAGCCCTGTATGACATGGTTCCAGCCTGTGCTAAGGACTGCGTTGATAGCTTCATCAAGTCCGAATACACACCCATGGAATGCACGTCACCGTCCAATATCAAGTGCCTTTGCCGCACCAAGACAAGTAGTAGCTTGACATTGGGGGAGGCTGCTTTGAGCTGTGTGCTGTCTGTATGCTCACAGACAGCCATCGAAAAGTCAAAGGCTTATCACATATGCGACTCGGTCTCCGAAGCTCTACCGAAAACACACCAGACCATTACCGCGACGGTCTTTTATGATACGAGTACAACGCAGACTAGTGAGGCAAAAACCACTACAGAGACAATGCCAACTAGCTCAACTTCGACAACTGAACACACTTCGGAGGCCTCAGTGACAATGTCTACAGCGACATCGGCATCGACACCGACGTCAACTAGTTCCAGTCAAACTTCTAAAATCACATTCTATAGCGCTTCTTCATCTTCAGTGTCTGAAGTGAAACCAACATCCTCTACCGAACAAGTTTCTAGTGACTCTTCTGAAGATACGAATAAGAAAGGTGATCGTGGTATCACTCCAGCGGCGGTCATTGGAATGTCAGTAGCATCAGGTGTGGCAGGATCTTTCATCATCGTTGTTGCTGTGTTCTTCTGCCGCAAGAGATGGCGACGAAAAAAGCGAGAGCAGGCTGCCCCACACAGTTTTGAGATCGGAGGTGCCATGTCTGAGCCTTCTGATTTTTCGAAACCGATGCCACGGCTCCCAACCGACGGTATGGGTCTAGGGTATTTATACAGTTCAACAAGTGACCGCGAGACAATGTTCCAGCGGCCAGGTACTTTACAGTCTATGGCAAGCGTTCAACCAATATCGCGATACTCACCGCAATCAGCCACGAATCATCACTCAGGCCAGAGCAAAGAGCCCAAAAACCGGGAACGAATAGGGTTTGCCATCAGCTCCGACTCGGACTGGGAAGCTTCGCCTCGGACGCAATCATCACAGCACAGCGTAGCACGACTACTCCCAGATCCTACAGTTGGATTATACCCAAAGCCGCTGAAGTGGAGTCACCGGCCAGCTAGTGGAGAGACTCTCTTTGAAGAAGATGAAAGTCAACAAGCAGCAGCGGCGGCAGCAATGATGCAAAACAACACCCCAAGGCCGGGGATTCAGCCGAAGCTCGCAGGACTACCGTCCAATCCACGCGCATTCAAAAAGGGATCCCCAGCGGGCAACTTCAAACGAAGATCCGGGGCTCCGAGTGCCCTGGCCCCCCCATTCAATCCCAACCCAGCCTTCAGAACCTTGCCATCAGACAGCAGCGCTGCACCCAACGAAACCACCGAAACATCACAACCGTTATACTCCTCCCCAAACCAAAACATCCTCCTCGCTGCTCCTATCAACACTACCCAGACCCAATCCCAGACCCAATCCCAGACCCAATCTCAGAACCGCAACCCATCACCAGGACCACAAGTGCTCGAATCATACCCCGCCCTATCGTCCTCAACCCTCCCCCCAGACTCGGAGGTAGTATCCAGGCCGCGGATCGTACGTGGAAACGATATCAAACGTGTTCAGATCCGGAACAGTCCACGACCGCCTAGCGAAGTCGTCGTGCCATACTGCCCGGATGATTTGTGGCTGGAGCGTGGACGCAGCATCGCGCCGCCGAAGTCCCGAGAACCGTCTGGGGAACTGCCGTATCCTTCAGATATGTTTTCAGGTGCTGTGCATTATCCTGATAGTCCGAAGAAGAAGGTCGGCGCTGTGTCGAATCGGGTTTCTCCGACTAGTCGGAATTTGACGCCGTCCAGGAGAGGCGACGATTTGATTCTCCGCGTTGAATAGTAGATGAGTTTCCTCTTATGGGCGTGTGTGATTTGGGATTTATGCCACCATGAGAGTTTGATTTTGTACATTACCATGTTCTTTCATACGGGTGGAGAGCTTCTGAAGTTTTTGAATTTTGTTTGTATTACATGAGAACCTCCAACATTACTATTGTATATTGAAGATCGACTTGGCTTCCTTGTATGAGCACATTTTTTTCTTGTATTTCTGCAATATATTTTGTATTTCTTCAGCTCTCAAAAATCCGTTCTGAACAAAAGAAAGAAAAAAAAGACACGTCTGAAATAACAATGCCGTACCTAATTTATTGGTGGGGCTTAGATAAGAAGCTGGGGTCCCGCCAAAAAGAGTAGAAAACCCATCACTCGTGGACATCCACATCTTTTTTACATCTTCCGACGCTTGTTCAGACTTCAATACCATCTAATCGTCCTGTTGGTCCATCCTCCATGGCCACTTCCACGGAGCGGACGTTCGTCCAGAGACCCACATTGCTGCCAATCTTTCCTCTGGAGCTCTGGGATATCATCATTGAATACCTGCATGATGAAGAATCTGCCCAACATCTGAGCCGACTTGCTCAAACATGTCCCGCGCTTTATTCCAGAATTGATCCTCAGCTCTACAATAACCCTGTACGCCTACTCAATTCAGAAAGCGGTGCTCGTCTTGCCCTCACCATAGAGAAGCGTCCAGAGCTAGCACCACTCATTTGTGAGATTCGACACAAGCAGGATACTGGGTCAGAATATTGGTCTAACCGTCATCTCCAATTTTATAAGACGGCTGTAACTTTGCCGAATCTGGAGAACCTGAGTTTGAGAAGAAATCCCAGGCCCTTTGATTCTACTCGGTGGGCCAGTGCAAATGCCAGAGATGACGCCATGCTGGAGTGGATGGATAAGATTGCCTCTGGATCAGGAAGCGTCAAAGAGTACCGAGAGTTGGGATATGGGCCTTCAGGAGAATCGTCGTTCAGTCCTCCAGATCGCGAGCTAAGTCACACACGAGATGGAGAGGTTGAAACTTTGTTTTGGCACGCTTCTCTTCAACACCCGCCAGGGCTGCCTGCCCTGCGTGTTTGTGAGTCTTATAACTGACTCTATCCGCTGAACCGAAAATTTAATGTTATCAGGTCACATCGGAAGCGACTATGATCATAACGAGAACAATCCTAAGATGGACGGCAGATGCTTACCAATTTTCAATGAAGCACTCTTCTGCCATCCGGGCTTACGAAAGCTCTGTATCACTGGCGCTACTTTCCGGCTTTCCCGGTCTAGCCTCTCACTAACATCTCCATCGCCTTTGGAGGAACTGACCCTTTTGAATTGCGTCATCAATCCATCTGACCTCCGAACAGCGCTTGAATATCCAGCAGCCTTGAAGCGGTTTACCTTCAGAGGTCCTAGATCAGAGGATATGTTAGAGGGAGAAGCTGAATGTTACATTCACTCAACGCTCTCACACGAAAATTCCTTAGAATACATTGATTACGATCTTTACTGGGGAGCTGATGAGGAAACAGACTTTGGTGAACTAGTCTGCCTTAAGGATCTCACAACAACTCTCGCCACACTTGCAGGGAGGGAATGCATGGAACTGGATCCTACGGATGATATTCTGCCACAGAATCTTGAGAGTCTTACGATACGATACGATGAAGTGAAGGCCTGGCTTCCTTCGGTTATCTACGAGATGGTGAAAGATGGAAAACTCCCAAAACTGCGTCGTTTTACCTGTGAGGTACCAGAAATCATAGAGCACCTCCCATCAATCAACCCACATAAGTCCAACCCACCCGTCGGTGAGATATGTCAGGAGGGCAACACCTGGAAAAGCAAGTTTGCGGAGCTGAATGTGGAGATGTCCATGGTGTCTGTGCCTTATCCTCTTGATCTGCCCAAATATGACGTGTGTTCTTGTGAATGTCTGTCCTTTTACCACCGCATGTTCTTCCATCCGCGAAAACCACTAGGACTTCCTTGGGAAGAAAACGGCTTTGGAGAGGAGGACGTGTTCTTTGACGACTGGGCCGATATTGACGATGAAATGGACCTTGATATTCTCATGGATGATCTTGCGGAGAATTCTGGATCTGATGTCTCGGCTTGATGGCTTTATCTAATAAGGCTCCCGGTTGCGATGCATCTCTCATAATTTGATTGTGATATGCGTTACGGGAATATCCATATCAAATTCCAGCATAACCTTCTTCCATGTGCGGGAACAAATTAGACAGGTCAGAAGTCTTGCAGACTGAATCAAATTATAGTACGCAAGAATAGTCGGCTGCGTTTGCGGCCTTGTGATGTCTCTTTGGTTAGCCTTTCTAAATGTCTTTTTTTCACAGATATTTTGCCCCCCTTCTCAGGTTCATAGATAGACCGCAAAAAATGGTGGAGAAAAGGCTTAATTTGTGGAATGGACTTCTCTATTTATAACCTTTGATGATCCAGTATATGCAGAGAGAAGTCCTGATTAGGATGCTTTGTCTAGGCGGTAGGCCCTAAGGGTAGGGCCCATTTCCCGCTTATATAAGGCCCGTGGGCAGTGCCCACCCGCCCGTCCATGGGCGATGTCGCAGTCTAGTGCGGAGTACCTAGGGCTACACCCTACTTGTAACAAGCAAGAGATACCGAGCACCTCTAAATCACTATTGACGTGTCTTATTAACTACGTTTTGAAATAGCAGTCGGAAATTTTTCAAATGTCGGTATCTATTCTCACCACCCCTACAGAGCTATTACGCCTCGTATTTGCAACTTTATCGCGCAGCGATCTGTACGCATTATGTCTTACGCATAGGGACTTACGCGCGGTTACTGAGAAATTCCTCTACGCTCGCGTCGAATTAACATGGACAAAATCTCAAACCCCTCCGATCGCTCAGTTTTTGCAAAATATTGTGCAAAGGCCCGAGCTCGCAAGTTCTGTTTCTGTTCTAATCCTTAGTGGGTGTAGCTTCGATGACTACCACTATAACTACAAGTTAAGTAGTCCGAAACTTCCACTTAGTGAAGTTGCTTTAGACGGGCTCGTGAATTACATCGAAAATACCTCCGTTTCATTTGCCAGGGAATGGATCCAAGAATTACGCGCCGGAACAATGGACGCGTTCATTTCGCTCTTATTATCACAGCTCCGAAGTCTAAGATTTCTCCAGCTCAGCCAAAATTTCGCACGAGAGAGTCGCCTTATGGGTATGATGCTCCGCTCGGCCCTCTGTGAGAAAAATGTTTATCTCAGTCCGTTTTCACATCTCCAAGATGTCGAGGCTCTGTTTCCCGGCGTTAGCCTCTTTGTGCGCAAGTACACAGACGCTAGGAATACTGCAGATGTCCTCCCTCTCTTCTACCTACCGTTTATTGAACGTATAAGGGTCTTGGTTGATAACCCGCCAACTTTCATATGGCCCGGAAAAACCCTACCAAACCCATCTAAGCTCGTATCGCTCGATTTAACAATGCTACGAGAAGGGCATCTCGGCCAAGTACTATCGACCACCCCAAACCTTCGGAAATTAAAATGGGATTGGTACTTCCGGCGAGATCTTCAAGATGAATATGTTACCGATATCATTGATTTGGATCAAATAGCCGCGGATCTATCCCACGTTCGAAATTCTTCAACAGATTTGACAATTACAGCAGGGTCATCTCTCTCAGAATCAGCCCCCGAATACCCTGAGCTCCGATTTAGGAGGCCGTTCAAAGCTTTTAGCGAACTTCATATGCTGCGAACTCTAGAAGTTCCAATTGCATTTCTGCTTGGATTTTCTCCGTCCACGCCTAATATGGCTCACCTAGAGGAATCACTTCCAAGAAACCTCCAGTGGCTGACTGTCACGGACGGACTATCTTTCCAACAAGAATGGGAATGGGAATGGGAATGGGAGACCACGTACTTGTTAGAAGCTATTCGACCATGGCTACAAGAATGGAAGACATTCACTCCTCGTCTCCAAGGGTTTTGTCTGTCAGTAAGTGAATAGGGAATATGGGAACCTGCGATGATACAGAGTCTTGAAGACATAGGTCACCAGTCAGGAATTCAGGTCCAAATTACCGAAGCAGAAACAGTCAGGGAGTCAGGTCTTATGTAATGATAGCTCCATCTATGATAAATGTGTTATCAGGTTTCTTAGCACTTAGCTCTTAGCTTTTACAACTCTCAACTCTCAATCAATCTCATATTGCACAATGCACTTCATCATAGTCTCCTTCTGACAAGTGTCTCTGTCAACAATATTTCTTCGAACCCACACCATTCACTATGATCCTTTCTACGGAAAAACTACTCTAGGGTCACCCCCGCATAACTGAATTTGCTCTTGACGAGTCGGGCCTCCAGCAAGGCTCGCCAACATGTAAGGCTCCGGTGCTGTTTCGCTATCCAATACTCTCATTCCTTCACTCTGGACGAAAAGATTGCACCCCCAAATATCCTACACATTTGTCAGTTGATCTTCGTGAAGTATCTCCCCTCCACAAAGAAGCCCCTCGCCGGCTTTACAACCACGTACACGGGCCCCGCAAAAGTGTAGTGGTTGTGGAGAAATCGGATATAAAATTAATAGATGCCTGGCTAGATAGATGATTTTACTGTATTTAATTTAATGAAGTTTTTGTTAAGAAATTTACATTTGAAATTAGTAGGCTGGGTAGGGTGGACCACTCGGTAGTGAAATACGTTAATAAGATAACTAGGTAGGACTATTACTAATAGTATAGTATCTAACTGCTGTATGTTGGTCTGAGGTAGTATCGGCCAGCATGTGGCGGCGCCAACATACCTAGTCTAGGCCCTTTGCTACTTTCTAAACCACTCAGAACTTCAGATTCGGATATTACTTCGTACGATATAGGGTATACTGTAGACCCATCCATGGATGGTTGTTAATTTGCTGGTTTGATTTCGGTTCCTGAGAATGAGATCCAGCTCCATGACGTCAACAGCCTGATATACCCTGGGGATGTAGCCTCGAGATACTCCAATGTCCCCGGAAAGGTCGGATTGGAAATACGTGAATACCTCCGAAGAATGAAAGAGGCGCTTGAGGATATTCCGCAGCGACGCCTAAAGCAAGCAAAAAGGATTGAAGCGGTCTGATCTTGTCAAATCGTGCTAAATCTTACCACCATCATTGGTTCTGATTTGTGAAAGCTGAAATCCTTGCCTTCAATCTGCCAGCAATTCCCCTTTCTAAATTATATCAACCCTGCGTCATCAACCCGCACAGGTTTCATGCGCCAAGGATGTACCGTTGTGGACACTTTCAGATTTATTTTAACCCACAAAACTGGCAGAATGACGAGGTCTGAGGCTGGACAAAGGCCCCATATTTTGGTGGGGATCAAGAGGGTCGATGATGCAAAAATCACCTTTTTGAGCCTGTTATATTAATCGCTCTTGTTCCCCTCCTCCCCACATGCTCCATCTATCCTACTTTGTACGGAGTACAACATACATTGTAACTCATTCCGATTCAATTTGCGCGACTTTGTCTGCCTTGTATTTAATCCTGCAGCAAATCAAGCGCCTGCATATCCAGCGCAAGGACCGGAATAGCTTGTGTGACTCCTCTTTAGAGATTTGACATGAAGTAATCCTACTCATCAAGGCAGCGATCATCGTCATTATACCCGCCCCACACCTTTCATCTTTTCATAATGGCCACAGATAGATTGGGAACTCAAAGAGTCCGATTCGACTTAGACACCGCTCAGACCGATCTCTATGACCCCAACGTCATTGTCTCTAAGCATTTTATGACTTCTACTTCTAACCATATTTTCAAATCTAATATGGCCAAGCACGATGTCTCATCCGAGGATAATTCCCCAATCAACACACCTATGCCACACCCTCCCAAGGTTACTAGCGATGATTTTGCACTAGCCTTTGACATCGATGGCGTTCTCATCAAGGGGGGTGAGCCGATTCCTGAAGCCGTTGATGCCATGAAGTATATCAACGGTGAAAACCCCTATGGAGTCAAAGTGTAAGCATTTACCCTGGGTCTTATTTCATGTTACACCTCACCCTTGGCCAAGGGTGAGGGGTAAGAATTGCAAAAAAAAAGAAACAAAAGGAATTCAACTCTAACAGCAATATCCTAGTCCTTATATTTTCTTGACCAACGGTGGCGGAAAGACGGAGAAAGAGCGATGTCTCGATCTCAGCAGACAACTCGACCTAGAAGTCGACCCTGGCCAATTTATCTGTGGTCACACGCCCATGCGCGAAATGGCAGAGCGATATCACACCGTCCTGGTGGTTGGTGGCGAGGGTGAGAAATGTCGGGACGTGGCTGAAGGGTATGGATTCAAGAATGTCATCACACCCGGAGATATTATCAAGACGAGACACGATACTACGCCCTTCCGAAGGTTGACGGATGAGGAGCACGATAATTCCCGACTGCTCGATCTAGACAACGTCCGCATCGAAGCGATCTTCGTCTTTGCAGATAGTCGCGACTGGGCTGGCGACCAGCAAATCATTTTGGACTGCCTCATGACCAAAGACGGCTGGTTGAATACACGATCGGATACCTTTACCGAAGGTCCCCGGGTTTTCTTCTCGCACACCGATGTGGTTTGGTCAACATCGCATGAGCATTCACGTCTTGGAATGGGAGCGCTGCGCGCTTCCCTCGAGGCCGTATACACGGTTCTCACTGGCAAGGACCTTAATACTATCGCTTTCGGTAAACCGCAGCTCGGGACCTATGAATTTGCCACCCGGCTTTTGCAAAAGTGGCGAAAGGACTCGTGCGGTATCGACAGGTCTCCATCTACCGTGTACTTTATCGGTGATACTCCAGAGTCCGATATCCGTGGCACAAATGAATTCAACGAGACTACGGAAAATGACTGGTTCTCGATCTTGGTGAAGACTGGAGTCTACCAGGATGGTGCTGTCCCGCGCTATCCACCCAGGAAGATATGCGATAATGTTTTTGATGCCGTCAAATTTGCCATCGAGCGTGAGCACCGGAAGACTTCCAAAGGCACAGTTGTTTCCGAGCTCGACTATGAAACTAGTGAAGAAGTTCCCAAATAAGCAGATCTCGATACGATGTGATCTTCTTTCGCTCATGGCTGCGTTTCCTCAACAACTGGTTTTGCGTCCTCAACTCAGACCATGTCTATGTTTTCTTCACAATCTGTTTTGATATGATTCCCAGTTCTCTCGAACTTTGCATTTTGTCGCGATTCATAGCACAGGGTTTTTACAAAGACCATTCCAATATGGCCTAGATATCTTCCATACATAGCCCTACTAGAACCCTTACATGGATTCTACAATGATCAATAATCAAGAAACGTTGGAACCTTATTGTATAAGATAATACGTAGCACCAATATCTACGTGGAGAAGAGGATGGGTATGTGGAGCCTGAATATTGAGGCACTTCGCCCTGTGGTTTGACATGACCCACCAGACGGGAAAGTCTTTTACAAACAACTTCTCTCCCTGAACAGTGTATCCAATATATTCCTTAGCGTAAAAGCAGCACTGGACAACAATAATGGTACGAGGTCTCCGGCTTTAACCCGATATGCATATGCCATCACTAATGCGCCAACGCAGGTCTCAAGAACAGAGGCAGTGTACCTTGATGATGCCACGCTGCGGACATTGACCACGGAGATTATATGCTCCCAATCAATACCTTCGCTTTCCGAAGAAGAAAAGAGCTTAGCTAAAAATGTGCCCGTGGAAGATAGCGCAATCACCATGCGCCAGACTATCTTTTACGCGCAAGGCGGCGGACAGCCCAGCGACACGGGGGCAATTGGACCGGTAGACCAAGATCCTACATTTGAAGTCTCGCTGGTACGCAAGACGCCCGATGGACGGTTCCTGCATTTTGGAAAATTCCTAGACGCCAACTCTTCCTTCGTCGCGGGCCAGCCTGTCGTTCAGAAGGTCGATGACTCAAAACGCAACTATCATTCCCGGCTCCATACAGCCGGTCACATTGTTGGGCTGGCCATGCAGCTTCTGATGCCAGATAAAAAGAAGGTCAAGGCGAATCATTTCCCGAGGGAGGCTTCTATGGAGTACGAGGGGTTGTTGTATAATGAGCACAAACCGGTTATCCAGGAGAAGGTGGATGAGCTTGTGCGGCTGGATCTGCCCATTCTCATTTCCTGGCTGGAGGGTGTCGCGCAGGCTGGGGATGGGGAGGGTGCTGAAGAGGATCGTACCCGGATTGCGAGTATAGGTGGGCTCGATCACAATCCCTGTGGTGGTACTCATGTTGCAAGGACGAGCTTGGTTGGGTCTGTTGTTATCCGCAAGATCAGTCGGCAAAAGGGAATTAGTCGGGTGTCTTATGATGTTTCTCCGGGGATTGAAGCATAGGTTTGAATCTTGTCATTATGGTCATATAAAATAGCTTTTGGAATCAGTTGATGGGATGTTGAGACTACAAATACATGCTCTAACGCTCGAGAAAGGCCTTTATGTTCAATCAAGAAATCATAACGCGAATTCATTGTCCAACCAATGCTTCATCACAATCTTGCCCTCTCGGAATCCATCCTTCTCGACCCGGACGATGATAGCTGCGTGGCTGTGGTGGTGTTTCTGTATGTGGACAGGATATTTCCGAATGCCCACTGCGTCGAGGGAATCGATTATTCCAAATTGTTCGTGAGTCAGTGCAAGCTTAGGATAATGTGTCGAAACCTCTGTCGTTGATGAACGTCTAGCTGATGCAGACTCAGGGTCGGCATCGTTTTGCACAGACTTCGAGACAGATGATCTAGCGAACTTCTCAGGTGCTGTGTCAGACACTTCAGTGTCGCTGTTGGACAAATAAGCTGGTTCTTGTATGGCATTGGCGTTCTCAAAGGCCTGCTCCACAACATGCTGAGCGTCTTGAATCAAAACCGGTACTCTGTATCTTCCGAAGCGCTTGCCATTTTCACCAACTTCATGCATACGAATGCGCTTTGAGCTGCGACATGTCTGGATCCCAGCATTTATCAAGAAGAGTACAGAAGCCAGGGGCACGAGAGCAATGAGCAGGAGTGATAGAGGTATCGAACGGGTCGCCGATTTTAATTTCTTCCAGAATCGCCCTGCAGCGGTTCCAGGCTCCTGTTCCACCGGAGGAAGCACATGAAGGTCGGGATCGATAATGACATCTTCATAACCCTTGACGTAGTTGATATTCACGTCTTCCAAATCACGGAAGGGGTCCACTTTAGAGAGACCAGATGTATAGAAGGTAACTGAGCGGTCATTGACGATATTTGCATATACACTCCGCTGCCGGAACTTCTTCAGTCCAGCTATGAAGATGCTCTCTGGATCAGCCAAAACACCGAGAAGCGGCCGCCCAGTATCACGGAAGGAATCGATCAACCACATTTGGCGGCCAGATGCCGAGAGCGTCCTCGACCCTAGAACATTGAAAATCTGATCCTTATACCCCTTCAGTGGGGCTCTCACTCCAACATGTGGCGTGGCAAAGGTCGTGAAGTTCATGGGTTCCAGCTTATCCAGCCAACCCCGTGCATTAAGCAAACCGATTGCATAGCGCGCGAGTAGGCCACCAAGCGAGTATCCAATCACACTGATTTTTGTGATATTTTGTCCCTTCTTGGTTAGGGATTCAAGCGTCTCCTCGATCTCGTGCACTATGCGTTCTCCGCCCAACTCGATTCCGTCGTAGGTGTAGTTGCCGCTATTCGTTTTCGGGCGCAGGATGTAAAGGTCATCATCGCTGTATCTTTCTATCAGAGCAGATGCGATATAATCAAGGTGCGAAGGGTTTCCCCAAAGTCTATTGGGAAGATTTGTCGCATTAGCGGGTTCGTCAATACGTCATTGACAATGAGAAAGCAGCATACCCGTGGACTAAAACACAGAGGTGGTCAGCTTTGGAGGTATCTGGCATTGTTTCACTTGTTGATTCCATCTTTGAGAATGAGACTGATTCCAGGGGAAAGGAAGAAAAGGAGCTTGGTATTTAACAATCGGGATGTCTATCCACCCGAAGGCCGCGCATCGGTGTTAGCCTGGAGCTATCGGCGATAAGGGACTTCCATGTCGGGCGAATTCTCGAAGTATAGTATAAAGATATGTATGTGTTCATTTTTGCAGGATATTATCGAATCTACAACTAAAATGAGAATCAAAACAGTCTCTCCAGAATCGAGCAAACCCTCGAATGAACAGGAAATAAAGCGATATTCCATAAACAGACGAATGCCACTGTGTTCTGCCTGCAATATCAGGCCAATGTTTGTGTCCTTTGCATCCTTGACTTATCACTTCGTCAAACAGCTCCAATGTTGTCCTCTAGTGATGTCAATCTGATCCCTTAATCCCTTCAAATCTGCTTTCTACCTTCAGCTCCAGTTGCTTTGTTTGGAATAACGCATTTTGGCTCGTTATTAATTGTCTTCGCCACAAGCAAGCGCTGAATGGTGCGATAGTACACGAAACACACACAAAAGGGTCGATGGGCAGCGATAGCTATACATATTCGTTATATACTTCTTAAGGGTGTGATGGCCTTGAATACCTCTTGCATTTGAGACCTAGATATTTACATCTAAACCTGTCTTTATATCTGGTTATCACTCATCATGTTCACGTCGCTCGGGCTTTTTAGGGCAATTTCATGCCCGCAAGGCAACGATTGCACTCTTTTGAAATGCATATTCTCTCATGATAATAAGCCGAATCCACCTGAGGCTCGGCGTTCGACGATTACATCGTCAGGTGACGATGGCCCTCCTCCCAAACGGGCCAAAGTGGAAAACACACTGTTGCCGGGGTCTCCCATTCCATCTCACGGTTTAAAAGAATCATCGCTCGAAATGGGACGGCTCTCACCAAAATCAGTTGCTCCCAAGCAAAGTCTAAATACAAAAGATACTTCAAAATCTCAAGAAATCGCCCAGCCTACCTCAAGCGATGGCCCGCCAAAGCCCTCAGGGAACGAGCCTGCGAAGCGCATTAATACTGCGTCGGCTGGATATTCATCACAACTTCCTCCTCGCAACGCTCCAAAAGAAACTTTGAATCCTCGCATGCTTGCCCATGCACCGGCAACTCATGGCAGTCGGACTACCATTCTCCAGAAGCTACACTCAGCCATGACTGCTCTCAACGAAAAGCTACGAAAGGACAAGAATAGCTCGAATAGATGTTTTGTCCTAACCCCCGACGAAATTATCACAATGGCTCTAGATGAGGAAGAGAAATTCGCGAGGGACAGTCCAAGCGTTTACGGCAACGTTATCAAACTTCGAATCGTGAGAGTTACAAAGATGGGTGTCGACGAATGGGCCAAGGAGGTGATGTCCCATCTGAATGCGCGATATTATAAGATAAATCCCATTCAGAAGCCGCCGGCCATTCCCAGGCCTATCAATACAGGTCTCACCCCCGCAGAAGAAATCGCAGTTGTATCCCAGCTAGTCACACCTCTCACTGGCCTCGAAGAACATGGATATGTCACGAAGCAGCCCACAAATGCAGACATAGAAACCGCCAAGAGAGGCGTTGGTGAGTCCAAGGGCTGGGAGAAGTGTGATAGATGCGGTCAACGATTCCAGGTATTTCCAGGTCGTCGCGAGGATGGTGCACTGGCCAGCGGTGGCCCCTGTAACTATCATCCAGGACGGCCTGTTTACCCTCAGCGCAAGAAAACAGATCATGTCACCGGTCCCTCCCAGCCATACTTCCCCTGCTGCAGCGAAGCACTGGGAACGTCTACCGGCTGCACCAGAGCCGAGACACATGTGTACAAGGTCTCGGAGACTAAGCGACTTGCATCCATCCTCCAGTTCCAGACAACCCCATCTCAACCAGGAAAAGGACCTCTGGAACCGGTCTCTATTGATTGTGAGATGGGCTACACGACCTTAGGTCTCGAACTGATTCGTCTCACTGCGGTCAGCTGGCCTAAAGGCTCTGACCTCCTTGATGTGCTGGTCCGGCCTATGGGCGAGGTATTAGATCTGAACACACGCTTTTCCGGTGTCACGCCACAACACTATGCTTCTGCTAGCCCGTATGGGACTCCAATTCCCAGCAACAATTCACCGTCAGCAGACGAGAAAAAGAAAACCAACCCACCCTTGCAGCTTGTTCAGTCACTCGCGGAGGCGCGCGGGCTACTTCTGAAGCTCCTCCAGCCTGACACGCCTCTCATCGGCCATGCAATCGACAACGACCTCAACGCTTGCCGTATCATCCACCCCACGGTCATTGACACCGTTCTCCTGTACCCCCACCCTAGAGGTCTCCCCATTCGCATAAGTCTCAAGGCGCTTGTTCAAAGGCACCTTGGCCGCGACATCCAGGTCGGGGACAATGGGCACGACTCAAGGGAGGATTCCATTGCTACCGGTGATCTTGTGAGAGTGAAAGTGAGCGAGAAATGGAAACAGCTGAAGAAGAAGGGACATAAAATTGAGGATGGCAAGTTGGTCCGTCCGGATGGCCAAGTAGCAACAATCACATCTTCATGGACGACGGTCCAGAAGAGCAAGTCCAGCAGGTGACTTGATATGTATTCCATGTTATCAGCTCGCGTTTTTGTTTTCTTGTTTTCTAGTTTTCTTGTATTTTTACTTTTTGTATGAGATACCCATGCATGTACACTTGATGAGGACAATCTACATTATTATTACGCATTGTGCCAGGAATAGAATGAGGGTATAAACTTTTTTAGTTTTATTCGTGGCCTCATAGACCAATCTTATCCCCCCATGGCTCTCGCTCTCAATCCATACAGACGTCCCAAGCGCGACACACAGACTAGAACCGATCGATCAACGGCACAAAGAAACAAGACATGTCAGGAGCGACACGCTTATTCCTCATCCTCCTCAGCCTCGTCGTTGACGACGTTGTAGAAGCGGAGCTCGTAGACACCCTTGGAGGTGGAGACGACGCGGAGCCAGTCACGGAGCTGCTGCTTCTTGAGGTACTTCTTGGTGCTGATTTGCCGAAAAGGCAATGGTCAGCAAAACTCTAGTCCAAAAAATCGGGAATCATCCCGGGAAATAGACCAACTCACAGGTACTTCAGGTAGCGGCCGGAGAAGGGGATGTGGGCAACAACCTCGATCTTGCCATCGCCGGACTGGGAGATGACGACGTTTTCACCGAGGTTGCCGACACGGCCCTCGACCTTGATGCGGTCGTGGAGGAACTTCTCGAAGGCAGAGACATCGAAGATCTTGTCGCTAGCGGGCTGCGAAGCGTTGATAACGAACTTCTGGGTAACCTTCTGGGCCTTGCGACCACGAGCCTATACCACATGGGAATCAAATTAGCCTACTGCTCCATAATGTCGAGCCCCGGTGGTAGTCTCGCAGATTCATCTTCGACGACATTGAAGACTCGATAGATTTTTCAATACCGAGTTTCATAGTCTTGTCAAAGACGAGCCTGCGCAGACTCCGGTGGGGGGAACAGCAAAGCGATTTGGACTTCAACGTACAGCAGCGGGAGCCATTGTTAATGGATTGGGGGGAGATGAAATTTGGAGAATTGGGAAAGGTCGCAAAGAGGTGAATATCCTGCGCCGGCGAGAGAGTGGTCAAGACAACTTCCTAAATTTCACGGTGGAGCCGATTTGGTTATCAAAAATTCATGGCCAGAGGTGTGTTGCACTAGGCTTGATTGGGACATAGGGTAGGGCAAATTATGGTGAGTCAGCAGATCGCTTAGGCTGAAATGGGCTTTTCCCAGATAGGTAACTCCGCTTCAAACAAAGCAAACATCGATTGGCTCGCTTAATCGTGCTAGTGGCACGGACCCATTCTGCTCCAGGTATAAAGAGGACCATCTGCCCCGAGAGTCTAATCTTTTTCTTTTTTTCTTCAGCTCTCTTTGCCTATTGGCTTAGATCAAGTGTAGTATCTGTTCTTTTCAGTTTAATCTCTGAAAGTTTCCGTCCAGGAAACACTTTGATTATTCCTATTTTTGGATCCCGTGACTTGGCCCCTGTGCTTGCGCATGCCTCGTCGCACAGTGTCATTGGGCTTACACTACCCCCGATCGACGCGAACTCCTTTTTCATCAATTGTACGGCTTGTCCGGGCGCTTGGAGAAGATGTCTGTTTGGTATTCATTTAGTATAATTGAATAGTAATTGAGCCATGGATCCTAGCTGGTCCTTCGGTGCCACCCATGGAACCTGGTCGCTGTGATTCTCGTCATCGTAGATCGCGTCCTACTATGGAAGATGGGATACCACCCACAATTATGTCAACGCGTTTTCAATATAACAGACTAGAAAATAGACCAAGTGGTTTAGACAAGGCGTTATCACTATGGATCTCCTAGCTGTCATGTACGTTGCAGATCATAGTCCGATGTACTTCTCAATACCAAAATGAGGCGCTTGGGTGAACGGGGTCATTCATATATTAACTTTGAGATAACCAGTGTGATGTTTCTAAGATGATGCACTGAGAAATAGACCAAGATGTTTAGACAACACCCTACCACTATGAAGTACAAGCAATTATACGCCATTATCATCGCCGTTCAAAACAACCAAAGCGGTCACATGACGCAACAGCTTCGATCGCGGGGGTCCAATCGATAAGCCTTCCATTTTTTTTCCAGTCCGCATACTCCAATCTATCGACACAAAACCAGCCATCGCGATGGGTTCAATCGTCCTCCCTCACTTGCAAACAGCCTGGCATGTGGACCAGGCTATCCTTTCTGAAGAAGAACGCCTGGTGGTAATCCGATTTGGGCGAGATCACGATCCTGACTGTGAGTGTCGCTCGCATCCATTGCTAGAGCCCTAGACTAACTCATTCTCCCAGGTATCCGCCAAGATGAACTCCTCTACAAAATCGCCGAGAGGGTGAAGAGTGAGTGATTGAGATACCTCTAGCAAACTGAACAACAGCTAATAGGGCTACCCTAGACTTCGCCGTCATCTACCTATGCGACCTTGACCAGGTCCCAGACTTCAACCAGATGTACGAGCTCTACGACCGGATGACGATCATGTTCTTCTACCGCAACAAGCATATGATGTGCGATTTCGGCACGGGAAACAACAACAAGTTGAACTGGGTGCTGGAAGACAAGCAGGAGTTGATCGATATCATCGAGACGATATACAAGGGCGCCAAGAAGGGTCGTGGTCTGGTGGTCAGCCCCAAGGGTACTTTCAATCTGCATTCCGGAATAGAAATACCATTCGCTAACAGCCGGCTTTCGCAGATTACTCGACCAGATACAGATACTAAGCATTGCCTCCCTCGCCGCGTGATCACCCTGGCACCGGCCATTGTGTGTATCGCTTCCTTACGACATTTACGACGGTCACTAGACTTGATCTGGCAACAATAAAACCTGAAATATGGTCATGGTTCTGGCGTTTTTTTGTTTCTGCGGAGGAGTCGCTTTTACAATCGTTTTAATCGGGGGTGAACACAATTTACATACAAGCCTTGTTTTTTTGAGGTCCAAATCTCTTGGTAAATAGCTGAGAATTGTTCAAAGCTTTATCAATCGTCCCCTAAGTAGTGGCTGTAGGCCAGTATTGTAAAGTGCCTCGTATGACCATATGAAGGAAATTTCATCTTCAGCAAATAAAATATATTTCAGGAAGTGGTATCAAAGCCTATCACATAACTTTCAATTCAAATAAATAATTGTGGCGTGTTGCGCAAGCTATGCTCTTTTTTTTACACAGGGAGTTTGACGTAACGCACTTCCAACACCACACCTCCCAGATCTGCCTTCAATTCTCTCAAATATCTATCTACAGCCACAACCAAGCAACAAAATGATTGACCAACGCATTTTCGAGAATCTTCAGACGAAGATCGACGAGGAGAGCACCGTCCGGGATGTAAGTAATACCAACGCGTCCGGAGCTTGGTGAATTCTTCGCACGCCAAGCCTACACCGGAGCAAGACTCTTGGGCCGCGAACACCGACAGATAGCTAACAATTTTGAACAGGAGCTACATGAGATTGTTCACACACTCGCCAGAAGAGGTATGCTCTACAATTCGCCACTTCAACCAGAACTTCCAAGGTGTCTGCCCTGCCGGGGGACGGCACTCCTAGGTTGAAGTCGCAGGTCGAACATGAAGACTGATGTTGAATGATACAGGACGTTCCACACAGGCTATCCTGTCGCGGGCTCATTCCACACCCGCTGATCAGTGTAAGTATATATTATCCATCTCGGGTGCTCTGACAAGGATCTGGATATAATTACATTCGATATTTGGACTCACTGCTTGATCACTCCTCTTGTCTCTCTCTCTCTTTTCTTCACCGTATAACGGTCAAATTCCTACACTTTCCCCCAGCAAGCATTCTACGCTATTCATATATCCTTCATAAATCATCTCGCTGACTTCTACAATAGTGAAGCCCGTGCTTGACGATGTCACCAAAGAAATCCTTGCCCAGAAGGAAGAGGTTGCTCGCCTGAAGGCCGTGGCAGACCAACATCCCTTCTACAAGTACAACGGGCTATGGACACGTGAGCTACAAAACCTGGTTTGTTTGCTGAAATTCAATCCTTGAAGACGTTTGCTGATCTAATCTACTAGGTCGCCTCTATCGAGCTCTGCGCATGGCTAGGAGGACTGCAAGAGCACAAGGGGCCCAGCTCAACATCTTTCATGACCATTGAGGATGTGGGCAAGTTCCTGGATAGTACGTCTTGCTTATCTCTATCTATAATGAGCATCACGGGTGCTGTATGCATACATCGAAGTAAAGTACTAACTGGAATTTCTTTCATTAGTTCCTGTCAACCTAAAGGAGCAGGATGCTTTCCACCTGACGATCGAGGAATACCTACTAGCACTGATTGCCATGGTTGAGGAACTGGTTCGTTTCCTTAAATCTCAGAGATTTCCCCTCTGGCCACAGCTAATTTGTTCCCAGGCTCGCTTGGCTGTCAACTCAGTCACCCTGGGTGATTACACTCGTCCTATGCAGATTGGCAACTTCGTCAAGGAAGTATTCGCTGGGTTCCAACTCTTGAACTTGAAGAACGATATCCTGCGCAAGCGCAGCGACGGTATCAAGTATAGCGTACGTTGTAATCATTGCAATATTTATTTCACAGTTTTAAATTTCTAACTTTGGTTGCACTCCAGGTCAAGAAGGTTGAGGATGTGGTCTACGATCTGTCGCTACGGAACCTGGTTCCCAAGGCTGGTTCCTCTGCTTGAATTATGGCATCCGGGACTCTCACACACACTGAGTCGGGCCTCATGTTAGGGGGGAATGGTTATGAATCCAATGAACCGATCTAGAAACTTTTACAAAATTGGTACCAATGAGTTTCAAGACTGGGATATGAATTAAAATTACGCCCCGGTATGATTCCTATCGTAAACCGAAATCGTAAACTAAAAAGAAGTTGTCACAAGCAGAAGAACCGGGATATAGATACAAGAAAGCAGATGAGAGTACAACCACAATCATTCAGATAAGAACACCTCGAGCACAGCCTTACGAGAGCTTAGCCTGCTCTGCACTAGTCTCGCCCTTCTTCAGCGAAGCAAGAGTGCCCTCCTTCTTCGCCTTCTCGATCTCCTGAACAATGGTATCCTCAAGTGCCTCAGGCTTGGTAAGGGAAGCCCAGCGGTTAATGACCTTGCCATCGGCGGAGACAAGGAACTTCTCAAAGTTCCACTTAACGCGCTTCAATCCCATGATTCCAGGCTGCTGCTCCTTCAAGAAAGTCCACACGGGGGCCGCGTTTGCGCCATTCACATCCAGTTTTCCGAGAACGGGGAAGGTGACGCCGTAGTTAAGCTGACAGAAAGACTGGATATCATCGTCCGAGCCAGGGTCCTGGCTGCCGAACTGGTTGCATGGGAATCCGATGACGGTGAAGTCTTCGGGGTACTGGGTCTTCAGCTTCTGGTAGAGCTTCTCCAGACCTTCAAACTGAGGCGTGAAGCCGCATTTCGAGGCTGTGTTCACGACTAGCACGACCTTGCCGTTCAGCGATGAGAGGGGGAAGGGTGCGCCCTTTTCTGTTCGTATGCGGGGTTTGGTTAGCGATTAGGTTCGGAGCCTGTATTTGGATTATAACGAGGGGAGAAGATAGGTAGGTACACCACGGGGGGTATACATACTGTCGACAGGCTCAAAGTCGAAGAAAGATGTAGCAGATGACATGATTGTTATTTGACGTGAATAGGTGAAGATAGGAAGGTGTCTCTGAAGTGTTCGCGGGGATAAATATGACGTCGTTGACCAGAAAGTTGATCGGAAAGACTTGGCAGAATGCGATACAGAGAAAATTTGCGAACCAGAGAACATGACTCTCTTCTTGTATCCTCTGATAATCTGAGTCGACCTCGGTTGGATTACTTTCTTACCAATTGGCCATGGGCTGGCCACGGGGTATCCAGAGAAACCGACAGAATTGGAAATCGTCCGAGCCGATTGATGATTGGCTTTGATTGGTTCATAAGACTGCTTAATAAATGTACAACATCCGGAGTACATGCCTAATGCAGTGCATAACTAAGGTTATTCCAAATCATTGCTGACGGTAATCGGGGCAATCTAAGCCCTGGAGCCTTTGGAGATCCACTAAGAAAGGATTTTATTGGGCCCCAAGGCTATGTTGTATGCCACACCACTGAGCAGGTTTTGGTCAGCTTAAAATCTCAAGCTGTCACTAGCAGCAATGAATTTTATTTGATCGAATATATTGTAAGACTTAGTATGATGTGCGTGTCTATCTAAGTAGGTACGTTTGAAGTAAACCGCGATGGATCTGAAATATATATATATTGAGGAGTATACGACAGTCCCACAAAACCTCCGGAGGTATATCCTGTTTCATTCAATAATCTCTACACACGTGAAACCCAAAAAAATCAACCAATAAAAAAATAATACATGACGGCTGAGATCATGCCATTTGGTACCTAGTTACAACATAGCTAGCGCTTTATCACGTCAGCTATGGCTGAACAACTTTGAACAAGACATCGGATCAGAATGTACTACAAGTCATACAACTTAAACGCTCCACAACAATTTCAATGTGTGAACCTTGGATTTTTGCGACTTGCTCTACATAGTTGTATTTCTTTTTGCGTTCTTCAGAACCGGAGAACGAATGCAGCAAGGAATCAACAAAGGATCTGTAGAAAGGCTGTTCCTCATTACCAGTTTAGAAGTCATACCACACAAAGGTAGCAAAGGTCACCGGAGGTAGTATACATGAAAAGTCGATAAATCATAAGAAATCAAAGAGGACAGCCCGTATACAGGAAGAAGTAATGGAACATGAAATATATCGTAAAGACTAATTATGGCCAACTGCGTTCTCTGCGGTACCAGCAGCGCCAGAGACAAGGCTCTCACCGGTACCAACGGCACTTCCAGCAATGGCAAGACCGTTGTGGGCAAGAGCGGGAATGGTCTCGACCGTTTCACCAAGTGCGGCAGGTCCATCACGCTTGATACCGCCTGCCAGGCCGCCAGCTTTAGCTTCTTGAATAATGGCGGGAACGGCGCTTCCAAGAGTGCTACCAACGAGGTTGTTGAGCTGACGCTTCGCTGCTGGACCGGCACCAGCAACAGAATTCTCAGCAGTACCAGCGACACCAGAGACGAGGCTTTCACCGGTACCGACAGCACTGCCAGCAATGCGCACAGCGCTGTTGGCAAGGCTTGGAATGGTCTGGACGGTCTCCCCAAGGGCAGCAGTATCGTCACGCTTGATGCTGCCAGTCAGGCCGTCAGTGGTAGAAGTGATAGGCGCAACAATTTTAGCAGCGGAGCCTGAGACACCACCAACGGCACTCCCGACGCTAGAAAGAGGGCCTTCGACATTGCCGAGAACCGGAAGAGCGGCGGAGTAGCCCAATCCAGAAAGGGCGAGTGAAATGGTCAATCCAGTGAACTTCATTGTTGCGATGTATGTAAGGTCTCGGAGGGTTGAAAACAGTGACTTGGTGAAGATGAAGAAGGTGAAGATGAAGAAGCGCACAGGTAGAAAAAGAGTGACTGGAGGTGAATAAGTGACTTGTGTATAGAGAAGAAACCTACTGGGCATAAAGGCCGGATTATATACAACTCTCTGGCTTTGTTTTGGCAGTGCTTCGTACGGCCATCGGGAGCCCCTCGCATTTGGGGTTATCAGGGGCGATGTTTTGCTCGTAGTTGTTATTGTCCATTAAGGCATTGGATTATCATGACTGGCGCTAACGGCTGCAACCCACCAAGTCGCGCAAGTAGTTTCATCTCAGCGGAGATTGCGCGAAAGAAGGGATGTATGTGCCCATATGGTCTCGAGCCAGGATGAGTGACAGGTTTCAAGCAGTATAGTCAGAGCAAGTCTTCAGCAAGGACGGGTCGAATGCAGCAGACTAATAAATTATGGAAGCTTGAGCTGCTTTGCGGGATGTTTGGAGTTATCTCGTATATTATTACATAGAGAAGATTGCAACGTGGGAGATATAGCATGGCCCATTCAAACCTGTGGAACCAAGCCAAATTTTCTCCGTCAGAACAAGAATAACACAGGCCAAAGACTAGCTCGAAAGTCAAGTGAGGGATGTATATTAGCGCATAGACCGTAGACTTAGGCAAGGGTCGTTATATGCGGGGCCTCGGATTTGCGTCGATCACCGCTTTCCTAGGGACTGAACGTGAGTTTGAATAAGTGGAACATTTGAACTTGGAGACAAAACAGGGTTACCATCAGAGGCCCTTGCGTCGACTCTGCATGAAACCCAGCCACTACCGAGGTTGCGGCAGCCACCCTACCTTGGGTGTTTACTGGCATGTGGAGGCACCAAAACCGAACACCGTCTATATATATATAGTTTTTGTTTTTAGTTAAGCAAAACGTGACCCCAGGATCATGGCGAATCACTAGTTGGGTGTTGAATCGCCACAAAGCCATTGAAATAATAGACACGCTCAAAGCCACTGTATTGAACAGTTCAATGTTAAGAGGGAATGTAGCTGAGAAGTGCCGATTGTGTTTTCCGTACTGGATGGGTCACTGGATGTGAGGCAGTGTTCAAGTGCAGTGGCTTGAGCATCACCTCTCACCTCGTTAGTAGGGACCGCTTGGTAGGCTTTGTAGTAAGCATCGTGATCCGAAGGTGATATACCGGCACTGGCGGTATAAAAACAAGCAGAGAGGTGATTAAGTGCCTTATTCTTGAGCTCATTTACCGGTATGGATTGGAAGGCTATGGTATTGACTGGGAATATGAAGCCAAAGCCAGTTTCCCAATCAATGATTTGCAAAAACTATGATGTACGATAGGAATGTGCAATCAAGAGACATGGTTCAGAGCTCGAGGCTGGGGCGCGACTTCGGAGTGGAGATGCGCGAGATGTATGAGATGTGAGCTCTGTATGGTAGGTACTATTGATGTTGATGTGGATGTTTATGATGTTTGTCTTATTTGTGTAGTTTGTGGTATTTATATTGTTTGTTTGTTGTGGTGCCGTTGTTTTGGAATGTGGAAGGCAAACAGGCTAATGCCTGAGGCCACCGACGTTGTCACGTCAACGGCTGCCACTAGTCCCAAACAGGTAAGGCACAACATAACAGTGGCATGGCAGCTGCCCCAAACATCATGAACTCGGAATTTGTGTTGATTTCCTTCTCCTCTAATCCCCTCACCTGTACAGGCTTTCCGCATCCAGGCTTTCATTTTCTCTTTATCCTTACCATTCTATACTCATAGATCTCCCTCCCTCAGTCTGATCATGAGCGTTTAGGTCTTACTTTTACCGCGACTATTTTCTTACCATTGGCTTTGCTATCCTCCGAGTCACACCAAAAAAAACCAGGTCCTGTAACGGTACCATATCGATCTATCTTCGCTGTTTATCAGCGTTACACAATCACTCCAGGTCTAAGCGGCTGTCAACAAACAACCCCCAATATGACTACCGACTTCAACCACGGCGGGCAGATGATCGAGTACATCCAAGGTTTGTACAATGTTCTCCAACAATTTAAATGACTTTCACCCAGAGTTGAGAGCTAAGACAAAGCACCATCCAGACCGCCTCTATCTTGCATCTTATGATTCTGCTCCCAGCTCCAGAACCCCGTTTCCCTTCCATCTGGATGCACCCAAATCCCCAAGCAAGCGGGCACGTGCCCAGCCCGCCACACCAAGCAAGCGCCGCTCTCCTGTGTACTTCACTATAGATGACACTCTTCTTTACAATGCCTTTCACGCTGATTTCGGCCCACTCCACATTGGTCACCTCTACCGGTTTGCCGTGCTTTTCCATGAGATTCTTGGCGACCCAGCCAACAGCGACCGCCCGGTAGTCTTCTACAGCAAGACTGATGCCCGGAGCCGCGCCAATGCGGCCTGCCTTGTTGCATGCTACATGGTCATGATTCAATCCTGGCCACCTCACTTGGCTCTGGCACCCATCGCCCAGGCAGACCCTCCTTACATGCCTTTCCGCGATGCTGGATACAGCCAGGCAGATTTCATTTTGAACATCCAAGATGTAGTTTATGGAGTGTGGAAGGCTAAGGAGCAGTCACTTTGCGGACTTCGGGACTTCAATCTCGAGGAGTAAGTGTCACTGTTTACACTGGCAAAAATTCGATGCTAATTTTGTTTACTAGGTACGAGAAATTTGAGCGAGTCGATATGGGCGACTTCAACTGGGTCACGCCAGACTTCCTTGCATTTGCATCTCCTCAGCAGCAGCCTGTGGCACCAATTCCTGTCAACACCCCCGAGTACAACGCATTGCCCGCATCAATCTCGGAAATCTCTTCCTCAAAGCTTCCTATGCCATTCAAGAATGTTCTCGCTCACTTCCACCAGCGCAACGTCGGGCTCGTTGTACGACTCAACTCGGAGCTCTACTGCCCGTCTTACTTTACCGCAATGGGAATCGCTCACGTAGACATGATTTTCGAGGATGGCACCTGCCCTCCCCTGCAGCTTGTCAGGCGGTTTATCAAAATGGCCCATGAGATGATCACCATCAAGAAGAAGGGTATCGCCGTTCACTGCAAAGCAGGCTTGGGCCGTACGGGCTGTTTGATTGGTGCTTACCTGATCTACAAGTATGGATTCACCGCCAATGAGGTAATTGCCTTCATGAGATTCATGCGACCCGGTATGGTCGTCGGACCTCAGCAGCACTGGCTCCACCTTAACCAGGGTGCCTTCCGTGAATGGTGGTTTGAGGATAGCATGCGTGAGAAGCTGGCACAGTCTACACCCGTCACTCCGCGAGTGTCGACCAAGAAGCGCACCAGCAACGGAGTGGTCTCCACCCCACCCAACAATAGCCACTCCAAGCGCGCAGCCCTCGGAGAGATTGATCACAATGAAGCTGTAGCCTACCCAGATCAGGATCTTCCTGCACCGACCCCTGGCCAGCCACGCAAGTCCCACCGAAAGGACTCCCGCCACCACCCTTATTCCCGAACTGCCTCCGGATCCCTCGCTGTTGAAAACGAGCAGCGCAGCCACCGCAGCCACAGGAAGAGCAACGAGAGCAGTGAGAGTGAAGAAGAGATCCAGCTCCGCCGGTTAGCCCAACGGTCATCTAGGTCCCCTGTTGCCTCGCCCACATCCCGGTCAATCAGTTACTCTGCCACTGTCACAGCCAGTTACACACTCGCAGAAGACAACCACAAGGATCAGGAAAACTGGGTTGACCACTCAGCACCCAAGACTCCCGTGAGCCGCAAGAGTGGCGCTGCCCCTATCTCGGTCAGCAAAGTTCGTTCTAGCCCTCGCCGGGCAACGGAAAACAACCGCACCGAGTCTCGTGGTGTTCGAAAGCCTAGTGGTCGTATTGGTAGCAATACCATCAGCCCTGCACGAGCAATTAAGACCATCCATTAAACGTTTTGTTCTTCTCTTTCGCCCCTGGGAACTTTGCAAGTTTCCCGGTGCGCTTCTTCTTACATTCTTCTCGTCCCACTGGGACAATGATTCTGCATACCCCTTTTCCGTGATGCATCTGGATGCTTTTTAATGTTTGAGTTTGCAAATTTCGGTCTGTTGTTTTTTTCTGGAGCGAATACTGGTTATTGGGCATGTTGTGCAAGGCGTTTGGTTTCGTGGTTAGTTGACGAATCGTCAGATGTCTTGCAATTGGGTACCGATTCACTTCGTGCCACATGTTGTTGTGTCTGTGGGTTTCGCTCCTGTATGTGTCAATTCTATGTCGATATGACAATTTCATGAACTCGTTCAACATTTTTCCATTTCTCCCTAGCGCTTTCGAATTTCGCATCCCTTGATATAGATCCTCAGTATGATTGTACTCAGTTAGTTGAGGTGGACTATACTTGACTTTGTTCCTCGGCCATACTTCAACGGTGTCCTATATAAGTCCACTCATACAGCGAGCTCTACATGGGGTAAATGGTGTACAAGATATTGTGAAAATTCCGTATTACTCGCATGCTCCCTATTTCATATGTTGGAGACCACACTCCACCTCCTACCCAACTCCTCAATTGGCAGCCAGAAACTATATGCAGCGTTAGCACTTATTCCATTCCACACCAAGATATCAAATCTCACCTCTTGGGCCTCTTCTTCCTCAACAGTTGAGCTATCCACCTCACTCTTCCCAATAAGCCCAAGCTTCCCCTTCCTCACAAACCACCACAGCTCCCTCCGATCCCCACCCAGCTCGTCTCGCAACATCTTACCCTTCAACTGGCGCACAAAGTCATTATACACCACCGGTTCCTCGTAATCCACCAGCTCCTCACGCATAGTACCGAGGCCCTCGATAACACGGTCGTAATTTGAGTGACCGAGGCTGTGCGTGATCTGGGTCTCAATGATTTTAGCCATTTGCTGCACAGCGTCATGGATTGCGTCGATGTTTTCTGCGCGGGAAAGTGACTGCTTGAACTCTGGGATTGCATTCTCAGTGGAAATT